TTTAATCTTCACATTTTAAGCAAATTGTTTATTTTAGCTCTTTTAAATAATTTTTTATTTTAGTCCTTACTTTTTTTATAAATTTTAAATTTTAATTTTTAATATTGATTTAATTCATTAAGACACTGTCAAATTTTTTTAATTTGACTACATTAGCATTAAAGACTAAAAGTAAAAATTTATTAAAAAAAGAAACTAAAATAAGAAATTCATTTAAAGAGACTAAAATAAAAAAAATCTAAAATATTAGGATCAATATATATTAAAAAAAATTATTTTAATTCTTTCAAACAAATTTTTATTTTTATTTTTTATAAATTTTTATTTATTGTTGAGATACTGTCATATGTTAGTTTGTATGATTATTTTAATTTTTTTTGTTAAATCACATCAGCGGCGCTGTGTTAGAGAATAAATAAAAATTTATAAAAAGGTATAAATAAATAAAAAAAATTAAAGGAACTAAAAAAAAATTACTAAAATATGAAAACAAAAAATATATTTAAACTTTTCGAGTTTCAATTATATTGCATTTTTAAGAAGAGATTAAATAAAGGAGAAAAAATTAAAAAATAAATTCTTCTAGAATTTGAATAAAGTGATATTAAAATTAAATTTTTTTTATCATATTAAATAACATTTAAATTATTATAATATAATTAAAATCAATATGTTTTGTCATTTATTATACTTTGTCATTTTGTTAATATTTTATTGATATTTTAAAGAAATAATAAAAGATGTGGACCTCACAACTTTTATTTCATTTTTTTAATATTTTTTTACTTTATAATAATTTCCGGAAGGGGCGTTTTATTTTCTTTTGACACTGTTTCGGTCTTTCTACTAAAAATTAAAGGAGAAAAAAAAACAGATATAAAATTCAACTTGTTTATTTCTGTTTAAATTTTTTAAAGTATATTTTAAAATACTTATAAAATATATTTTTAAAAATAAAAAAAATTGTGTTAATACAAAGGGTCAACATCCTCTTCAATTAATGAATCACTAAATAAAACTAATATTATTAAATATTAATTTATTTTATTATAATAATAATAAATATAGTATTCTATTGAATGAATAGTTTAGATGATCTGTAGTGAAATACTTTCCTTTAAAAAATCTTATGTTCATAAATAATATTTTTATTGGTTATTTGTATAAAGAATTTTTAAATAGAGTTAACAATTCTAGCTATTCAACTTGCTTTGAGTTTAATTTTTTTAAGTTTAGTTGTGTTAAATAATAAGTTAGCACGAAAAAGCTAAAAACATTTAAAATTACTCAGGCCTTTACAATAATAATCTAAATTTTGTCACTTATCCAAACGCTAGTAACAGACTTATGATAAAAAGTTGTCTTGAACTCACATGTGTTGAGTTTTTCATTGATGAACTAAAAAATTCGAATGTTTCAAGTAAAAAGAAAAAAAATTCGAATGTTTGACAAAATAAAAAAAGTTTAAATTTATTTGTCTTTAATTTTAATGCTTAAATTCTCATTTTATATGAGTATTATTAGACTAAGCCATCAAGAAGAGTTACTTTATCAGTTATATTTTTAAATAAATTACATTAATTACTAAAATTAGTTAAAATTTATTAATTTTATTAAAATTTTAAAAAATGTTTATATACTAATTTTACTTTCATTTAATATATTGAACTTATTAATTTATTTTAAATTCTCACCAACTCTATTTCTTAAAGATAAATGAAAAAAAATAAATATTTTATAGAAACTATAAAGTGCCTTCAATAATAATAATAATAATAATAATAATAATAATAATAAATTTAGACTAATATCATGAATTATATATATTTAATGCTTAATTATTTTTTTAAAAAATATACAAGTATATTTTTTAGAACTAGTTAATACTTTTTTTAGTTGAACCTGTTAAAAATTAGTTTTTATTATTAATTAAATTATATTAATTGACGAGATGAATAACAAAAATTTAATTTATTATTATTACATTATTAGTATTTTTAATATTTTATTATTTAAATATTAATTTTAAAAAATTCTTAAAAATATTGTTTTATTTTATGCTAGAAACGACAAATTTTAGTTAGATTAGAATTATGATCTAATTAGTCCAGACTCATAGAATGAACTTGTGAACTATATATATATATATATATAGAATTTTAGCATAGGAACAACAAAGGATTTTAAGTGAGTTGTTCATGTTGAAATCTAGAAAACAGTTGTTGTGACTATTTCATTTGCCTTAATAAGATAATCTTAAAACTAACTAATATGTTTTAAAATATAAATCTGGCATTGACATTTAGGAACCATTAGAGTTCCCTGTCATCGTTATCATGCATATGATTTCTATGTACATAGATATGAGTATGTATTAGAAAAACATAATAAACAATATATGAGTAGAAAGAAATATCAATCTTTGACAATCTTTATAGGGCATTTTGAAACAACAATTTGAGTTTTCATCTACTGACGATAGATACTAGAGTTGGGTTTCCAAAACTATAAAATCAAATTACTTAATATAAATAATTCATAGGTATAGATCATAATATCAAAGTAATAATAACCCTCCATTGCCAATATCAGCCCACCATCGGTATGCATTCCTTCCAATGACCCAGCAATTAAATGACCCAATCTTTTAGCATCATTGTGTTCTTTCCCACTATGGTCATTTTGTTAAGATACACAAGTCCCATTTTGGTGGATCAACAACGTATCAAAGCGTTTATAAGTTAAGAGAGATTTATCCTAAACTTGCTTAAGATATTTTAGAGAGAAGAGTCTCTCAAACTTGTAGTCTAAACACTTTTTACTATTAGATGGAGCTCACATACTAAATTATAATACACTTAGTCCCAGATTTCATACCTTGAATTACGTTCTTGCCCTTAATCGTTTCAGGTTTTTTGGTACAATTTTAAACATCTCCCAGAACTAGTAAATTATTGCAATTAATTAAATAATGGCTGCTCAATTCTTATTCAATTAAAGAATATTATTTTATTAGGAGACCTTGGAAACATCTGCTTAGACATAATTAAAATTATTATTTCCCTTTTTAAGGTTCCATAACTAGCACTTTAGCTAGTCCTCATGCTGATTTACTTATTCCTGTTTAAAGTTAAACACAATAGGGCGATTGTTATAATAGATTTAGTATATCGTACGAGACCAAATTACACGAATCTACCTGACATACATAAAGAAGGAAGAAACAGAAATAACAGGGTGAGATAAAAATAGAATTCAACAAGTAAAAGGGTACAATCAGCATTCATATCAAGTGAGGAATTAATTTTGCACTTCTCACTAGTATCCCTATTATATTACAAGTTAGAGGTCTAACTATTTGACAATTTATGTGTAGCCACTTCTTTTTAGTGATATTCATGTCATTTTAAGGTTTACCCGGGAGTGAAATGAAGCATTTTTATTTATCCTTTTCTCTAAATTGTTGTTCGTATTAAAATTAAAACCATTATTTATAAAAATAATAACAACACACTTTTCAAATCACTATTATACTATTTTATTTTGGTCTTACAAAATAAGAAAAAACGCCACATGATTTATTAAGTTTACATGAATTTCACACAATAATAATTTTAAAAAATAAAATAAGTCCTACTAATTAATACCCTAAAAATTAATAAAGATTTTTTTTTCAACAAAAACCATGTTAAAATTACATTAAAAATCACAAGAGAAACCTTAAAATACTAGTACTCATTTGCCAATAAAAAAAATGTTACTTGTGTTCTTGTGATATGAATTAATTATTGTTCAAACAAATTAATATTTATCCGCTTATGCGACTAGTTCATGTCAGTTTAATGGTTGATTTTAAATGAGTAAAATTCAGTGTTAATGTGAAACCTAATTTATGATTCATCTATCTTATATTATTTATCTTTTAAGGAATGCAAATTATAAAAATCATTAATTACATTAATTACTATGATAAACATAACTTTATTTTGATAAATTACCGTTGATAAAAGTTATATTATAATAATGAATTTTTAAGTTAACAATAAAAAGATAATACATCTAAAAAAATTAATATTTCTTAATTTTTGAAGTGACATATTTTGAGATAAAATAAAATACAAGAAACATATAATTTGAAACAGGAAAAATACTTTAAGAAAATGAATACATACCAAAGACTAAAGGTGTTCATAAACTAAACCAAACCATTTCCAACCATAAAATCAAACCACAAAAAATGATAACCAATTAAACTAATAAAAAAAAACTAAAATAATTTTATTTGGCTCGATTTGAAGTTCTCATATTTATTTATAACCGATCAAACCAATCAAAATTCTTATTTATTTTTATGTTTTCCCATTCTCATAAATAAATTGGAGTTACGGTAGTTCCACCACCTAGCTCCGTTGACCTAGACTCTACCCGTTTGCCTGTCCATAGTTTTTACCAAACCAAACCAATCAAAATCACCGTGTCACACACCTGATTGCTGCTTTACCTATCACATGCTTCTTCGGTTTAAAATATAGGATAATTCCCTCTTTCTAGTCCCGAAACAAATGCTTTTTCTTTTACGATATTTTTTCCTAACCTTTGTTTAGAATTTTGGAGGAAGCAGAAAGAAAAGATAAAATAAAGTTAATATAAAACTCTTTAAATTTGAAAAACTTAAAAAAATGATACTAAGAGAATTTATAAACCCTTTCTCTCTCATCTAGAAACTTTCAACAAAGATGATCATCACATAAATCTTTTCCTCCCTCTCTTTTTTAAAAAATCAACTCCCAAACAAAGTCCTAGTAGAAAGTCCATGAAGTTTTCTTGAAAATGCAAATTTTATTTCACTTTTCTCAACAGCTAATTGAACCGAGCTCAACCATACCAATGGCCAGCTAATTTTGCCTGCAATGCCTATCAGGTGGTACAATCCCACAATTAGAGCGATTAAAATAAACCAAACCACTCAATTGAAACATTCTCAATTAAAATATGCATCACAAGGAGCAGGGCTCAGGCGACAAGGACTAGTAGAATACTAGAATCCTTGACTTTCTATATGTCCAAGAAAACCACACACAAAGTAGGATAAATCCAGCAAATTATACATCAGGAAGGCTTTCCTTCCAAATAATTATACTCATGCGAACCAATTATTTGAATGACAATTACATTGAGTTTCCTAGTATAGATGCATACACTAATGTTTCCTGAAGCCATCAATGTGGAAGCAATCAAGGTGCAGGTTTTACTCATTAGTTGAATCTATCAATGTATCAGCTATTTCCAGTAATCAATAGAACATATGTTGAAGCTGTGGGGTTTGCATGCCACAGCAGCACTGCTGACGACCCATGGTTTCCTCTCAGGCTCATCATGACCCGGGTATTTGACTCTCTGCTATCAAAGATACAGGATAAGAAGGCATACGATTACAAGGGCAAAAACAAATAAAAAGATGGTCATCACAATCCAGGTAGGCGTGTTTAATTCTCTTGCTACATACTCAATATTTTTTTCTTCTGGAGACATGATAGATGCATTCTGACACACCAAGCAGTGGCTTGTTTGTTAATTGTCTAGCTATATTAACTTTCCATGAAATTAATATCACCAAAATTTATCCCAAAAAAAGGCAATATGGAAGACAGGAAATCTAATCATTCTGTACGGACATTTAAGGAGTGCTCGGTAAAGTAGGTGGAGAGTGAGAAGCTGGGAAATAGATAACAGACTGAAATGGATTTTCAACCAAGAGTAAAAAAGAAAATTTTATTTTCTACCTCATTTTAGTTGTACCAAAAAGTGAGCAGTAGCTTTCATTCAAATTTACTTCCTACTTTCCAGCTATTGAACCTGTTAGAGTAATACTCAGAATACTAGGCAACAGTTAGTAGTTCTGTAATGAAGTTAGGACCTTTATGTCAAGCAGTTGGGTCCGTTAAAAATCTGACTCAGTTAGTTCAGTAAGTTAATTCAATCACTATTTTCAGAATAGATTTCTTTCTCAATTTTTTTTACTTTCTCTCTGGTTCTTCGATTCCTATCATGGTATCAAGAACTTCTCTTCAATCCTTACCCACATAGCTTCCCCTTCCAATCTGTTCCAAACTTCAGATCCACGTGCCTCCAACTTCTGCTCCCATTACATTCTTGCAGTTGATCTCTGTGCAACTTGTTGAGAAGAATTTTCTTCTTTGGACACAGCAAGTCAACACTTGAATCAAGGCTCATTGCTTGCAATGCTGTGTGGTTAATTCGAAAATTATGATTTTCAGTGGGGTAATACAGGAGATTGGGTGTGCGAGGGAAGCTTATCTCCAATGGGAGTAACAGGACCAGATTCTGTTCTCCATGCTGTTATCATCACTTTCTAAATTGCTGTTCATGAGTAGTTGATTGTTTTCATTATTAGCAAGTTTGGGAAGAGATCCACAATTTCTTCCACTTACATGCAAAAGCTCAATCAACTTTGCTGTGAAGAAAGGAGGTCACACTAGATCTGAGTATTAGCTTAAAATAAAGTCAATCATTGATTCATAGTATTTATTGTTGATCCCGTCTCTAATAAGGATCAGTTTAATGCCATTCTTGAAGGCCTTCCAGAGACGTACAATGCCTTTATGACTTCAATTAATAACCAACTGTATCTCCCAGTGTCAGTGACATTGAAGCTTTACTGCTTGCAAATGAAGTTAGGATTGAAAAGCATCAGCAATCCTAGGGATCCGCAAAGTGTTTGAAGCTCTATCAATTGATGTTGCTTCGAAGGCTGGGAAGCATGCTGAGAATATTGGGTACCCACAAGCCTAGATTTGTCCCGACACTGTTACCAGCTAGTTTGGAGCCTGTCACTGTTAAACAAGCCCTGGCTGACCCTCAGTGGCAATCTGCTATCCAAGCAAAATATGCAGCTCTTGCCTAACAAATTTGGTCCTTGTCCTAGGTAGGCAATTGGATGCAAATTGATGTTTCAAGTCAAGAAAACCCTAATGGCTTGATTAACAAGTAACAACTGGTTGCAAAGGCTTTTATATGGCCTTTAACAATCTCTATGGACTTGGTTTGGCAGCTTCAATTAGAGAAGTGATATGTTGAGGAGTGAAGTTGACCAGTATCTTTTACCTCCACTCAGCTCAAGAATCTATTTATTGAATGTGTATGTTGACGACACCTTTATCAGTAGTAGTGATCACCATGGTACAATTCCAGTAAAGTAATATCTTGGTCAACATTTTTAGACCGAAGACCTAGACAAACTTACTTTTGGGAATATAGGTTGCACAGTCCAAGGAAGGCATCATGATTTCATGAGGAAATATTCAAGACATTATTGAGTAAAACAGCCTATTAATTGAATGCAAAGCCAATGACAGTCCTATGGATTCATCACTAAGGCCAATTAGGCAGAGCTACTTTCAAACCCAGGAAGTTGCTGAAGGTTAGTTAGGAAACGGAAGCATCTCCCAGTTACTCATCCAAACATTTCATTTCCATTTAGTACGGTAAGTCAATCCCTATTTCACAACGTGAAGAGCATTGAGATATAGTATTAAGTATCCTAAAATGCATTAAAGGAGCTCCAAGCATGCACTAAGATAGAAGTCAAACTCAGATTACAGGATAGGGATACTGAGAAGCTGATTGGGCAGGCTTCCCTACAAATAAATAGTCCACTTCTGCATGTTGTACATTCATCAGGTACAATCTAATACCTAGAAAAGTAAAACAAAATGTAGTTGCAACATCAAGTACACAGTAGGATATCAAGCCAGGGCCACAACCACTTGTGAATGCATTGGTTAAATAACTACTTAAAAGAACTCCAATTCAGGGAGGTTATGCAAACGGCACTCATTGTGATACTTCAATGTTTCACAAGAAGACCAAAAATATTGAGATCAATTATCACTGTTCCAGAGAATGTTATTGAAGACATCCCTAATGATCAACCAAAGGATGTTTTCACTAAATTTTAGAGAGGCCTTTGAATAAGTTATATATATGTAAACAGTAAAGTTTGGTGCACTCATATAACCTACACACTCCAACTTGTGGGGGAGTCTTGCAAAATAAAGTACATAGGGTAGCCAAATTTTGTAACTAAAGTAGTTAGGTTACTTGCTATTCTAATTATTACATTTACTCTATATAATAGCATCTGTTGTGTAATTCTGATACAACATTTCATCAAATGTTTCTTGTTTCATCTTCATCTGAACAGCAGCTAAAATATCTACATAATTTCATTCAACTTAAAGATAGTTTGACAACCTTTAAACAGCAAGAAGGAATAGGAATCAGTCTCCCAATCCTCCTAACTCTTTTAAGGTGGTTAACTCTTTCGTCCAAATCAATGATTTTAGTGTAGGCATAGTTAGCACACCATGAAAAGATAAAACCATAATTTAATTTAATGTATGAAAACAAGAATATTTTAGCATGAATGCCCTACCTACTAAATTATTTGTGACAAGAATTAAAATGCATTGTATCTAAGAGAACTAGTATTTCCGAACAGCCAACCAAAGTACTAGGAATACACACCTCCAAATTGATGTTCCAGCCGAGCCACAATGTGTTTTCCATAAGTGTATTTCTTCAAAGCATGACCATGAACTCTTATGTGAGAAAGCAACATTGCTCGCTGATTTTCAGAACAGATATCAATAACCTTCTGGACCACATAATTCGCAAATTGGTCTTTCATCATTGTCTACAATGAAAATCAAAATATGATATAGTAAGAAAGAGTATAAACCCGAGTGTGTCAGCATCACACTGGTTATATAATGATCCAATTAATTAGCAATGTCCACACTTCACACTACATTTAATGGTCAAGAAATTTCAGCCTTTGTAAAAAAATTTAAAAGATCTCATCAAACATGAAGGATCAATGATACCAAAATGGAATTAGTGTAAAATGGGGCCTAGGGGTGTTCGAAAAACAAATATCTATATACAGTGAAGCTGGTTTTTTAGTTATCAAAATTTAGAAAAACTTATTCTTATCTGATTATGCATTGGCTAAACGTTAACCATTATGAAATCATTGGATGACAATACTGCAGAAAGATACAATTAAACTTCAAACAAAATGAGAATTTAGTCTGCTTGTCTACAAAAGATTAAGAAATGGAGAAAGGGAAACAATTAACAGGAGAGTAAATTTTTATACATAGCAGTCTAAAGATAGATATTTGTAACTGTCGAGATGCATCTATTAGCAAGCCTGATTAGCAAATGATTCAACAATTACAATTAAATAGCTAATTCAAAGCATCCAGGCATAAGATTGAATTAATCAAGTGGAAATTTACATATGTACTAGATATTTAAGTTTAATATTTGACCACATCACACCAAGAGGCTGAGGTATTTCTTCTATACAGTGAAATAACTAGTTTATGCAAAGCATAATTTCACAGAATAACAGACAATTCAACCTACACCTCATCAGACAAAGCATAGTTCAAGATTAAGAGACAATTTTTGGATGCCACGTGATACAGTAAGATTCTGGGTGAGGTGAAGTTTTTTGTCTTTTAGATTTGGTATAATATCTTCTAACCCATTGAAAATAGAACTCAAGGACCTCACTTCTTATATTTCAGCTTGACATGTGCAGACCTTGTGGATGAGGAGCAGTATTACAGACCAATCACCTTTTAGGGGGTGTTTGGAAGAGCTTATTTGACCTTATTAAAGTATCTTATGACCTTTTCTATAAGCTTTTTTCATCTTGTTTTAATAAATGTTTGGGTCATGTTTATGAATGTGTTCTTACATGATACGACTTATTGAATAAATGCTTATTTAAGTTATTTACCCAACTATGCCCAAGATTAAGTATGCAGCTTTGACGATATTTTCTTTAAATGGGGAAAACATTGTATTTGTCATGATAAATAATAAACTAATGACACAGATTCATCAAAAGTTAACTTTCAAAAATCTGAGAGATAAGATTCACAACATAAACCATGGGAATGACTTCAATTGTTCTATTTCTTTTCAATTGTTTATTCTGATAATTACTTGTCAATAAAATAAGCAAAGCTCCATTTTGACTACCATTATAAAAAACTAGAGATAGCAAATTTTCTTCCCTAACAGTTATAGAAATGTAATCCCTCATGAACAGCATGTAAATTTTACTGCAAGAAAATGTGATTTTCCCCTCCATGAAAGACCTTAGAAGGATTAAGGCTTAAATAAGTTTATGATCCCTATAAATGTTGTTTTTAGAATTGATATTTGTAAAAGAATTTGTTAATATTTAGTTCCTAATATTTTAAAAGGGTAAGAAATTTAGTTCCATCTAAATTATTACCTCTTTAAAATTGTTAAAAATTTAGTTCTAACCCACTTCTAAAAGCTAGCTCATAAGAAGAATACTACCATGCTCTTACAAAGAGTATTCTAACTCTATTTTTAGTCAATGTAGAACATCTTAACACACCCTCCTCACATCCAAGACTAGACATCTGCACGAGTAGCCCAACAAGACTAGACATATGTAGGCAACCTAACATTCAAATTGGATAAATTCTGATACTATATTAAGAAACTTAAATCTAAATCACTCTCAAAAGCTAACTCTTAGGGGTAGGACTACCCTAATCCTTATAAGGAGTATTCTACCTCTATTTCTAGCCAATGTCATCTTGAAAAAAATGTTGAGACTAAATAGTATACTAACAATTTTTTTAAAGGGATTAATTCCAAAAACAACATTTCTAGAGAAAAGAAACTTAATTAAGTCAAGTATTAAACATCCTTCTCAATGTTAAATTTAAGCTTAAATATGTTTTTAGTCCTCATAAATTCATTTTGTGTAGGTTTTGGTTTTCAAAAATATTAAAACTTCTTATAGTCCCTATTACACTTTATCATAACATTTAAATATGTTAATAAGAGGATCAATTATTATTATTATTATTGTTTCTTTTATATGTTGTATATATTAGGAATAAAAATTAGTCTCTTACTCTCTTAATTGTACAAAATCAAATTTCCTAATTTAGGTTCTAGAAATTAGGAATTCAAATCATTTTGTAAAGTTGTAAATGACCTTATACTATGTAAAAAGGAAAGTAGAATCAAAGAAGGCATTGAGCCAAAATTTCTTGACATGATATCACAAGTCTCATCCTAGTCCATGTCGTAATTGCTTCAACAACAATGTCCTCATGGCACTTGGTTCTTGTGGTTTCAGTTGTCCCTTCATCCTTTTTTCCCTTGCTTCTAAATTGTGGGCATACTTCTCAATCCCAATTCTTGGTTCCATGGCTACTGACAAAAATTTTGTTCACTTCAATAGTAAGAATATACTACATGGGAGTTTCGGTTCAAAATGTTTGTGAAAGGGAAAGAGACGTGAGGTCATATTGATGGGTCTTTTCTTACTCCCAAAGAAAAAGTTACGTTGGGTACATGGGAAACCTCATACACCCAAATTATTGTCAATAATATGAGCTCCTTTTCCCCTGTTAAACATGAGGGATTACCTAAAACATATTTACAATCAAGATAATGTGGCCAGAGACTTTCAATTCAAACCTAATATCACAAGTTATAAGCAAGGTAATTTAATTAGACTAACTCTTACTTTCACAAATTAGAGTTGAGAAATTTAAAAAAAATAAATCCTATTTTAATTTTTATTAATTTTGAAGAAAAATCACCCTAAAGTAATTATTGTTTCCTTTCAAAATACAATAACGTATTTAATTAGACTAACTCTTACTTCCATAATAATTATATATAATTACAACTACAACAAACAACAACCAAGTCTTATATTACTAGGTGAAGTTGGCTATATGGAACATCATTGAGTTTAGTCAAAAATTAAATTTTTAAAAATTTGGTTAATTAAAATGTTTTTTTTTTTTTAATAACTGTCTAAGATTATTTTGGATCACCCTCAATCCCTCTCTACTAAACTAAATGTCATATAATTCACTCTCCATACTAGCACTTCGCACATGACCAAATCACCTTAAACAATTTTCAATCATTTTTTTCACTACAGATGCTACTTCAATATTCTCTTGTATACTATTATTTTATATATTGTTCTTTTTCGTTTGTCCACTCATCAAATCTTAGCTTTTTTATTTCTACAACTCTTACTTTTTTCTTATATTATTTCTTTAAGGCCCAACATTAACTACTATATAGGATAGTTGTTGTATTGCAGTACAGTAAAATTTTTTTTTTAATTTGATAAGTACTTTACAATTACAAATAACTTATATTTTTTTTTTCATTTTAACCACCCAACTTGTATTCTATGACTAACATTTTCATTAATTTCTCAATCATGTTGTATAATTGATTCCAAGCAACTGAAACTGAAAACTTGTGATATAATATCATCTTGTAGTTTAACTTCCAATGCATGTTTTTCATCTTGTTTTTTTGCTAAACCTACAATACATGTACTCTGTTTTACTTCTACTCATGGAGAAACTCTTAGACTTTAAAGTTTCCCTCTATAACTCAAGTTTAATATTAACATATTCTTTTGAAACCTCGACCAACACTATATCATCTGTAAATAGCATGTGCCCAAAGATAATATTTTGTATGTCATTTTTAAGCACATCTAAAACACGATTAAACAAGAGCTCAAAGCGGAGTCTTGATGTAAACATATTCCTATTAGGACGTCTTTAGATACGCTTCCAAAAGTTCTCACACATGTACTTACTCAAATACATGAATCTCTTTCTTTCTTAAAGCCTTTCATAACAGTTCACTTAGTATCCGATCATATGCCTTTTCTAAGTCAATAAAAATCATGTTTTAAGTCTTTTTTCATGTAGCAATTTTATTCCACCATCTTTCGTAAAAGGTATATAGCTTCTGTTATGAACCTTTTTGACATAAAATCAAATTAATTTTCTACAATCTCAGTTTCCTCTTGTATTCTATATTCAATCATGTTTTCCCACAACTTCATAGTATCATTTGTAATTCATCAAAAAATACTTGGTTACTTTCATGATCTAGAATCTCAAGAACATTCTTGAGGTTTCCAATTTTCAGTCCTTCCCTTTACATTTAAAATCATGTATATAAGAGACTAACAAATTTACAAACATTAAAAATACCAAGAATTGAATAAGAAAATCATAATTAATAAAAGATCACCAAACATTCATTACATCATTATCAATCCTAATTTTGGTTACTCCCAAACTCTAGAATAAAAAAATTAATCACTAATGTTTGAATTACAAACTAAAAAAAAAAAAAAACCTAAACATGATGAAAAGAAAATAAAAGATTGAGTAAGAAAAAATCCTAATTTTTACCCTTAAAGAGTGCATTGCTCTTGTAAATCTCAAAGAGGTCCTTTCAACATCTTACACCCCAAAAAAGTATCTAATTTCTTTTCAATCTTTTCAAGTTTCAATAGTAGCATCTTTCAGAATCAAGAAGGCATTAAGCCAAAATGTCTCGACATCATGTTTAGATGTGTCACATCATCCATAAGTAATAAAGAGGTAATAGGAACGATTTTTAAAAGTTGTAAAATTCATCAGCACTAAAATCAACAATAAAAAACTGAGGACTAAACCCAAATTTTGTCATATATAGGGAGTAAAATATCTTTTATCCTCAAATTTATTATTAAAAATATTTCAAGAATAATAGGGAATCTCCATCAACAACAATGAAGTTAATGAATGAAGACTTTTTCTATTGTATGGAAGTGGAAATTCTAAAGAATAATCAGCATGTAATAAGCCTTCCAAAGTTAAAACCTACCAATAGATTATCATTTTGTTCATCATGCCCAAGTATCTCTGCAATTAACAACTCCCGTTCAGTAGCATCACCATACTCCAAACATTTCTCTACAACATTTGAAGCAAACTTATGCTGGCTTAATTGAACAATATGTCCTGAAAGTTTGCTAATAATTTGGCTCCTTTCCTGAGGCTTTCCTCTCTCCAAGACATGCTGTGGTGACACAAGGAAAGCACTATATCTTAAGAAATTAAACAAATATGACATATGAAAGGGTAACATAACAATATCCAGAGTCCAAAGTGGCTACCGTTAACCATTTGAAGACCAGAGTTAATCAACATCAATTCAAGCATAGTAATATACACCATAAAGCATTTGGAAAACACATTATGAATCATAAATCTTTAATAGAACACAAATGTACAGGAAATATTCTCAACAGAAATGCAACGGAAAGAAAGAGAGGGAAACAGGACTTGAACACCCCTTAGCCAAAACACACATTCCAGAGGTAAGAAATCCTCCTTTAAAAGGAAAAAAACAACCAATAGAAAGCAAAGAATACATCAATCAAGTAAAATTTCCCGGTCCATCAACATATCTGCAAGGGAGGATTGTGCCTATCTTTATCAATACATTAGCTAATCCCAAGCTTGAATTACGAAAAAAAGGGTTGTTATGCAGTCAATAGCCAACATAAAACTCTATCCAATCTTTATGACATAAAATTACGTTTGAAGGAATTTGTCTCAAAAGACCTTTAGCACATTTTCTATGAAGTCATGGATCTTCTGCAATGCCCTATCTCAAATATAATGAATTGTACATGTAGACGGCCATTAATAGTTAAAATTATTAGAGTATGCATAAAAAAAATCAATTTATTGTCTTTCCAAATGCAATGCACTTTTCACTTTGAATAAAACAGAATGCTGTGTCCATATAATTAGGAAAATTACAGTTTTACATACTGTGACATGTGCATAATCTGGGCCCATAGTGTGATCTAAAGTCTCAAAAGGATTATGTGAATTTAAGTATGTTTAAGTGTCATCATTCATCACTCAAATTTATATGCATCTAATACATTTCTAAATGCATGAGTAAACTGCATAAAAGGAGTCATACATCAAGACAACAATGGCTTTTAGAGAATTTGAATCTTATGCATTAATATAACAATTTCCAAAGAAAAATGAAAAGCCTCAATGTGAATTTTGCTTTACATAATAAAAATTTGAAAGACAATTTGGAGCAAGGTTACAAAGGTCATCCAACATTCATGAGCCAAAATGTATTATTCTCTTGAAGCTCAAACTCATTATATGTCAACAGACTCACCTCACATAGACCATAATGACATACAGCATAATTCTATCTACTGGATGGATACTTAAGATATCATGGGTATTTTTACAGTAGAAAATCTATTTTAACACCTATGGCCAAGTCTCTAACATGGTTTAACTCCATTGCATAACAAGTCTTTGTAAGGGAAAATTACATTAACCTCCCTTGAGGATAACATTAATTACATTAACACCATTTTATATTGGAAAATAACAACTACCTGCCCTTGCACCTACCTTGCTTTGATATTTTTAAGGGCACTGTGTATGTTTCAAGCATAAAAACAGGGGAGGTATGCATAATTTTTAAAAAAACAGGCTAAACATGTAAGAATATTATATAGTCTAGGAAATGTAATTGTAATTTTTCAATCTAGAAGGGTGTAAGTGTAATTAATACAAACCTCGAAGGAGGTCAATGTAACTAGCCCTTTTTGTAAATGAAAACTCTACATGAATGATAATATACAAGAGAACACAGTCTAAAAATATTGAAGACATAAAATTGAAAAAAGAAACTAGAAAAGGAATACAAAAACCTAACAATTACATTTGGGAATAAAGGTCACAGAAAGAGGTTTGGCAAAGAGAAAATTTAAGAGGGCCTAAAAACAACAGTAAACAGAAAATAGAATAAAAACAAAGGGAAAAAAAGAATGGGAAATACCAATGTAGCACCTGCTGAGACTCACAAATCATAGACTGTTATAGATTTATGCTTAGTGTGTGGTGGCTTGTAGCCACAAGTCTGGGTAATTTTTGCAATGCAGCCCCTGTGTAGATTCTCAAATTTATAATTGTATACAGATAAAGGGACATCACATGCATCCAACTTGTCACAGTTACTTTCTACTATGAACCATAAACACCAGAAGCTAATAGTCAAATTATGGTATGGGAGAGATGGTGACCAAGTACCTGGGTAACATAATTACCATACTGGTCCTCAGCAAGAGCACAAACTGATTCCAATATTTCATCCACAATAAACTGACATTGACTCTCATCTGTGCAATGCTCTAGAACTCTCTACAAGAAACATTATCATAGGATTATATTTATGACCAAACAAAAAGAATCTTCTTTTAGGAAAGCAGAAGGCAATAAGTTTACCTGTATGACACGGCAACCATAGGGATGCTTTGATAGAATAGCAACTTGACCACAAAATGCAGATAGTATAAAGCCAATTTTTTTGGTTGGAATAGATTCAATGCACTTTTGTATTACATGGTTTCCATTTTGGTCACGAACACATCTCAGAACATGTCCATCTAGTTCACGAACAAGCTGAGCTTTCTGTTCAAGCTCAATAACCTCAAGTGCCTGAATGGAAATAAAATAAATACGATAACACATTCTATAACATACAATAAATAATAGCCTAAAAACATGTTTCGAGCTTGGAGGTAATAGATATGCTTCAAATTTCGAGTGTAGCTGTAAGATAAATAAAACTGAGCACCAAGAATAACTAGGCAAACAAACTTGAGGACAAAGTTCAATAACAAAGCTTCCAATATCTTGATAATATAATCAAGTAGTATAATATGCCTACTACACAACAACCAAGCTTTTTATAAGTAGGTGGTGTCAGCTACATAATTGATGTTAAAATGTTCTACCTGAATATTTTACTTTCTTCTAAAAGACCAACAGTGCTTTCAGCATATTTTACTTTCACACACGTTCATGTACTATATAAGACAAGGCTTCTATGACTCAATCTAAACACACTGGTTTTGTTATTACTAGGAAAGTACACCTTATCTATGGAAGAAAAAGTAGATTTAGAAGATAAGCAACTAGTAACTGAATGCAACCCAGATTTTATAAACTTTCCCCCTAGGTACTGGTGGATGCAAAGATGGCAAACTAGGTTAGACAAACCCATTTTAAGAATGTAATTTGCTAAGACCTGAATGTCTAACTATGACCTAGATATGCTAAGAGCATTTATAAATCTCAATTATAAATCCTGACTCAATGACCAAAATGAAATCAGGGAATAAAATACATACTCAAAACATCCACACATATCCTAAAAGCTGTTGCCTGTCAAGCATGGCAATGAAATAAATGTACACTAATAATGGTTGTTAAAATCCTGATTTGAATTGTAAAATTCCAAGATTTTACTATTTTGGAAGCCATACCAATTTAAATTGGGGGTGAAATCATGGCCAAGTAAAATCATTGTAAAATCCCGAATTGAACCTAAAATCACTAAAATTGTGGGATTTCACAATTTCAAGTCAATCATGAAAATCCCTCAAAAAGCCTCTTTTGTTGAACCCTAATCTAGTTGATGCCTCTTTCTCTTCTCTTTTTGATTGAACCCAATTTGCCTCTAACAACTTTGAACCCCTAAACACCATGGTCAACTTTCAACAGTTCTCCCAGTGTGTGCAACCTGGTCTGCAACTAATCCAGCAGTGTACTACTGCTCTTAGTTTGAGTCCAGTGCTGCTGTTCATGTTGTCCTTGCATATTTTCAGTTCTGCTCTATTTTTAACTTATGAATTCAAAACTTTATGGCTTATGCATGACATTCTTATGGAATATGGATTATGCTTTATGAGTGATAGTTTAAGGTTTTGTTTTTCTAATTTATGCTTTTTAATATGCTTAATATGAATTTCGTAAAATCTTACGATTCGATTTATGATTTTCACTTCCCTTTACGATTCAAAGTAAAATCCCAATTTTAACCATCTTGATACAGTCATAAATCAAGGTTAATCATTATAAATTATGTACCTTCTGGATTACACGACAACCATACATTTGAAGACTTAACGGCAGTATCTGACCAGACAGTCGATCTGCAAGTTCCCTCCTCTGCTCAGGGCCTCCATACTCGAAAAACTAAGCACATGAGAAGGAACAAATTAGACCAGAACATATTCCAGACAACCAAAAGTCACTCTTAACTACAATATACATTAGTTAGAAAGCACACCTTTTGTATTACGTAGTTACCAAATACATCAGTCATTAACTTAGAAGCATGTGGAAGAACCTCTTTGAACACCAAAGCCTTCTCTTCAACACCACAACTTTCCAACTTCTGCTGTATAAACCGACTTCCATGCTGATCAGCACTGTGGAGTAAAAAACCACAGTGAACTTAATTTCTAAAGCCAAGAAACTGATCAATCAGATAGGTGGAAAGACAACGGAAAAGAGTACTTGCCTAAATTCAACAATATGTCCAATAATATCAGATAACTCAAATCTTCGACCTTTGCCAGATTTTAAGTCTTCAAGAAAATTAACAATTTTGGGGTCATGAGCTCTGTCAAACAATCTCTGACCTTGCCATCCAGATATTATGCCTCCATTTCTACCAGAAGCTGGGGAAAGTTTCATTTCATTCCTAACTCCTGGTTGGCCAGGACTTCCATCTGGGTATCCTGATAAAACTGGACTAGCAAGTGGTGAACTCGGATACTGCATCACAAAACCCATATTGGGCATGTGTCCAAAATAACTAGGAATCAATAATCCACCTCTTCTTGAGGTCACATTGGCACCAGTTCTCTGATCATGTAATTTTTTCTCATCCAAATAAGCACCGGTACTTGGCCTTCTCTGTGAATCATAAGGACTAATATGGCTCCCACCACTTTCTCTAGGTGCCACTGGATCAAAATGACCAGAAAAACCATATCCCTCCACAAAAGGTTGCTGATGATATTGCATGTACATAGTATCACCAAAAGAAGGCTGCAGTGGAAATCCAAATTGCCCAGGGTACTTGTTTGTCTGTACCATTTCAGCTCCATGCGAAATGCTTCCCCCAGTTGAAACCCCTGGTGTTAGTGGACTATAACTGGAACTAGTAGCCCCATCAACAACAAGTGGTACAGCACCATGAGGAGGGTATGCAGCCATATATGGAGGAATAGTTGTGGGATTTAAAGTGTACCCACCAACATATTGTGGAGTATATATACCTGAGGCCTGCATATTAGTGTAAAGTGGATTTGCTGAAGTCATATAAGCTGCTGCTGTGGCATATAGGGGAGGTGTAAACCCAGATGATTGCAACAGGGGCTGGACATCAGAAAATTTGCTGGAATTATAAGGAAACTGTTCCCTACCAACGTACAAAGAATTTACACTTTGATAATTGGCATTGGGAACTTCAGACGTATTGTTTTGCTGCTGGAATACCTGGCGTTGCATCAAATTATTCTGGTAGTTGGTCTTCCATTTTTCTTCGTAACTCAAGTTTTCTGAATTTGGTAGATTAGATACACAAAGAGCATTTAGTTGAGAATCAACAGTTGCAATGTCCAAGTCACTAACACCAATGCTGCCTGTGGATTCAAGAGATGATGAGCTTGCAACAGGGGCATGGGTATCAACACTTGATGATACTCTTATATCATCTGCACCTACAGTAGGTTTGGCAGCCACTACTGCAGTAACAAGGGGGTCATGGGAAGAACTAGAACTGGCTTCTAAATCAATTGGTTTATCCACCAGTCCATGACTTAGAGAAAGAGACTTATTATATACAGGTGACATGGTGCGAGGAAAATCTTCCTGAAAGTTTGAGTATTGAACAAAAATTTATGTATTCGTGATAAAAAATTTATTCCAGATGAGGTAACAGAGTCAAATACTTAACAACTCACAAAAAGAGAAAAAGATAATACCATTGTGGGATTACTACCCTTTGCAGCAGGCAAAAGGCCAAATATAAACTAGATAAAATAAATGGAGAAAAATTATGATAAACTTACCATTCATATCTAAGAAAATGCAAGGAATTAAATATGTATTTTATATGTAGAAAATTCACAAAATATAGAAGTTGATATCAATGTAATCACCTGAATTAAATCAACCACATTTTTGTGCTGAGATGCCAATGAAGCTGCATCTGGTTTATGCCATATTCCACTTGTCTTAACTATTTCATTAGCATTTGGCTGTTGTTGTGATGAATCATCTTCAGACTCCTCCTTGTGTGTTGAAAGAGTCCTTTGGGGCAAAGGTAAAGAATTTTTACCGCTATCATCTGTGGAACACAGCCTCCAATTATTTCTAAAACTCCCAATATGACGCACTAGATGGTGGTTTTCCCGGGATGTAAGTGGTGGAGGAAGTCTAGGGTTAAGGTTGACATTGGAACTGTAATATGCCAAATAAGCCGGATCAGCTCGTAATTGTTCTTCAGACTCACATGTTTGCATAGCTCTGCTTAGAGTGGCCAAGCTTGCGTTCTGGGTGGTGTTCTGCAGGGGTAAGAGGTTTTCTATGGCCAGATATGAACCTTCCATGCTGGGAGGTGCACTGCCACTGCGACTGGGTGCCACATCCTTTCCACCACCATGGAGCCTATGGCCCTTCAGAAATAAACCCAAATCCTCTGTCACCACAGAATGAGATGGTGGACCAAAAGCTGCTGCTTCCTTAAGAGACGGCCATTTACCCCCAGCTTCTGAGATTCTAATTGGACTCTCAGTTGCCATACTACTGGAAGATTAGCTTTCCGCTTCTTTTGTAATGAAAAATTTCTTCACATTGTCTCCTAAAGAGCACCCAAAATTGTGGGATCAGTATAAACTTCTAATAAGAAACATAACTTAATAGCATCGCTAAATTACACTAAAAAAGTAAACCGGTGCAGTACAAGAAACAATGTCTACAATCAAATAACACAGCAGGTCGACAACACATATTTAATCAAACATATCACACAAATTCACTGAGACACTGCGCAAAAATTCAAATTTGCTGAAGCCACGTGCCAATTAACACAAACTTCAATGAAGATCATGTCATGTTACTTAAATTCATACTAACTATCCAAAGGAAATTCGAAAGCATCCCCCAACACCATACTGAATTGGAGCTTTGATTATGATGAAGAAATCATAAATGACACAAATATATAAAATAGTCACTCAAAAATGTCGAGAGCAACTCATCCATCCTTATTCAATTGAACACATAAACACCACGAGAAGAAAAAGCAAAAATTAAAAAAAAACGTCAAATAACAAACAATAAGTTTGTTTCACTGGTCAAACCAAGACACACACACATATTTTCCCTCTCGTTGACTGAACTAGAAAAGAGACTCGAACATTCACACAGCCACGATCATCGTCACCAAAACATGAAGCACCAAATACCACAACACACGAACGAAAACAAGGGAAATTCCATGCATGCAGACATACATGTAGAGAAAGCGAGAGAGAGAATCAGAAGAAAGGAAACATGAAGGAAGAAGGAAGAAGAAAGAGACAGAACCTGTGGTGGTGAAGATTCACTGTTACAAAACCCTAGATTCATCGAGAGAGAGATGTTGATGGATTGAGTTTTGGAAAGGGCATAACGTAAGGGTGCAATGAGGAAGAGAAGCAGAGGATATTTTTTTAGTTATTTAAATAAATAAATAAATAATGGACAAGAAACAAAATAAACGAAAGCTGCGTCTCCCTCTGAATGGATAAAAAGAAAAGCGATAATTCCGCACGCCTCCTTTTGCTATTTCTTCCCTTTCGTCTCCGTCATGTGAGGCAGAATGGGACAAACATGGCAACTCCATAAAATTATGGTACTCCATAAAATTACCATACCATAACTTAGAAATAAAATATTCTCTTGAGAGAATTTGATTTTATATTATTTTAAATAATTTAAAATGTTTGATAAAATATATCAATTATTTCATATAATTGATATATTTTATTATTAATAATCCAAATATATTAAAAAATGTGTAACATAATATGTTGCTCTAGAAAAAATAGATTTAAGCGTCAACCAACTCTATAAAAGTAACTTACTTCATGGGTTTGCATGTTGTACCCCTCACGTCCCTTCCTCCATCGAAGCTTTACACTTACCCAAGGGTGATATGAAAGGTGTATTTAGCTTTAATATAACATATAAAACAAAACATAATAAATAGAGAAGCGATGAGATTCACAAAATTAATTTTAAAACAAAACTAGATAACAAATATAATTTTATTAAAATATTCAAATTAATAATGTAAACAAGAATTCAAAAAAATTACATCATTTCCATAATATCTTATAAATCACTTTTAAACTCTTTAATATTTATATTAATGTTTGTTTAAAATGGAAAAAATATTTGTCTAAATAAGAGTTTGTTATGATGACCAACTTAACTCAAATAGAATTGCCTTCTATAAAAGTATTTGGGTTAAATAAATAAATAAAAAAACCTTTAAAATCATAACAATTAACATTTTTAACATAATACTAGACTCATCAACTTTAAACTCACACGGCACAATCCAGATTGATGTATCTTTACTTTGAACTTTTGAGAATTTTAGGTATTTGGATTTATATGGACAGTTCAAGATAAAAAAATAAAATAAACAAGAAAGCACTACCTCATGAATCTAACTATTTTGTCATAAAATTATGTATATGAACAATGAGTTTATTGGTGTATGAGCAACGAGTTATTTTAACTTCAACAAATTTTTATCATGAAAAGCTTTGTGTTTATAAGCTAAAATATGCCTTGTTATATGAATGGAATATTTTATTTTTTTTTATTAACTATGATCATTGGAAGTATGTTATGACAAATGTGGCAATTTTTCTACAAATTCTAACCTTTTATTTTTTTGGTGTGCCAAAAACATTTCAACTTTGTCTTCTTTTTTTTTCATGTCATCGTTAATAAAAACTTGCTCATAATTTTTTCTTGTATATTCTTAAATGTAGGTCTTATATATCCAGTCTTGTTCGTGTAATATGCTTTTGTCTGAATTTTGCTCATAGTTACTTCAATTGTTGAACTTGCTCAATTGTGACTCGTGTTTTTTTTACTTTTTCAAAGACTTAAATTCATTATTTAAGCACGTGGCAGTACTAGTTTTATGAAAGACTGTTGTTCTTTTGATAGACGTAGGTCATATAATAAATTTATATATATTCTAATTCACAAGACTTTGTCTAAACTAGCTCATGCAAACTTGTCAAGTGTGATCCTTACGATAATGTATTTCTAAATTATAGTTTGCATCCAACCTTAAAGGCTAATCTAATGCACTTCTTTGAATTCTTGTAAATAACACTTCACCAATAGGTTGATTTATAGTAAACTTGTTAAGGTTTGAATATGATTATATCTTGAATAGTTTTTATTGAAATCATCATGAACATGTTAGACAATGAAATATTAGTTTTTTCTGTAAAATAAATAAATAAATATAAAAAATCTTGCAGATTTTGGAGTTACTAAGAACTTTGTTATCATTAAAATACATCATGGTCGAGAGAATTTGTCCCCAACATATACTGTACTAATAATTTCTATATGACATGCATGTGAACCAAAACTTCTTTCATGACACCATGGAACACTTAACATCAATAATAGGAAGAATTGGAAGGTCATGATTGGTAATTATTTAAAATAATTGCTAATAAATTAATAACATTTTACAATCTTAACCTATTTGGATGAATTTGTAGAAAAGTTCTTATATAAAAATAAATAATCTTGTTTAATAAAATTATTTTTACAATTTTTAAAGAAAATAAATTTGTTGAAAAAAATAACTTATTTAAAATAAAAAAATAAGAAAAACTAAAATAAATCAATAACTAACAAAATATTGTTCTTGAAGTTAACTGTGAACTAAAAAAAATATGTTTGTTACAGTGCTTGTAAATTTTTAAAAATATTTTATTTTTTTTAATTGTAATTTTTTTAATATTTTTAAGATGAAAAAATATTTATATTTTTTAAAAATAAATAATTAATTCCCTGTATTATATATATATAATTGATGACAAAAATGTCTGTAACTCACTAGGTAACGTAAAAATTATATTCATAAAAATTAGAAAAAGAATGCGTTGCTGCTAGCGGTGATTATAGATTTCTAACAAAATTAGATAACAAAAATGGGAATATGGGAATAGGCCTAGACCCGGACCAACACTTTTCGGATCCCCAAAGGAGGCCTCGTTTTCGTGCCTTGCTTCCAATGTCTTGCTTGGTTTTGTTGTAAGGAAGAAACCTTCATTCACCCTTGTTCAGTGTTGTTCACGTTTGAGTTTGACCCATCCCACTCTTCTTCTTCTTCTTCTTCTTGTGCATGGCGACGGAAGCAAATGAGAGCACAGGAACGAACACCCTTGTGGTGAGAAACCCATGCTTTGGCCTCCCAACTGGGTGCCCTCAATGCTTATCTGCTTACATCTATCTCAAGCTCTCTCATCTTCCCTTCAACTTGGACTACCACCTTAACTACCCTGATTCTGGTATACACCTCAATCTTCATCCCTTTTACGCTACAAAAAGAAAAAAAAACTTATTTATTTACCATCTATAATAACAAATAACACTAACCCCTTCATTTATTTATTTTCAAAGTTTTGGCCTTTGCATACCCCATCTCATCAAGTTACTTTGTTTTTGTTATTTTTAACCCCCCCCACCCCCCCCCCCCCCCTTTTTTTGCATTTGGGTGGTTGAATTTTCCTGATTTTATGTTTTTAATTAATAGTTTTTTGGCTTGTGTTTTGTGGTGTTTAGATCAAATTCCATACTTTGAGACTGGTGACTGTGTGGCATACAATGATGAGAAAGATGGGATCATTGAGTGCTTGAAAAGGGATGTGGGTGATTTAGATGGCGGGGTTTCTTCACTGCCTGATTGGATACCAACCAAAGTGATACTCACCACTTGGCTTGCTGATGCACTTGAGTATGAACTGTGGGTGGGATGTGATGCTTCTTCTGCTTACAGTATCTATTACTCTGATCTTCCATGTCCTATAGGAAAAGTCCTATTTTGGAAGAAAACTCACTGGGTAAAGCAGAAACATGGATTAAATAAAGACAATGCTCAAGCAAAGGAAGAAGAGGTCAGTTTCTCTCCATCCTAGCTCTGATGATACATGAGAGTTGAGACTATGAAAATTGACAAGTTCTCTGCTCCATTTTCTTAAAGTTTACATGCTTTTTGGGAAATTTTTAAACCTTCTGTCCTGTAGTTTCATTTTGTTTTTCCTGCATTAGTTTCAACGGTGCATGTGTGTGTTTTGGTTGATTTTGGTCTTCATATATAGATGTTGTTGGTCAACAGATTTATGGGAGAGCTAAGTCTGCATACAATGCTCTGTCAACTTGGTTAGGGGAACAAAGCTACTTATTTGAGAACAGGTGACTCCGCTGGCTGTTTTATATGTAAAATCATTTGTTGTTGGAGCAATAAGGGTTGTCATTTTGGGTTCGTTTTTGTGTTGAGAGCAAGTTTTGACCTTGACCTCCTGGTGATGTATTCACATGCTTTATTCTGTTTATGAAGGCCATCAAGCTTGGATGCTATTTTTCTTGCACATGCATTAGTCGTTCTTCAAGCTTTACCTGTAAGTTTTATCGTCAAATTATTCTGATATATTCTTTAAAATAAATATGGATGGGATGTCCATTCGGGTTGTTTTGGTCACTGGTCAATAAAAATTGGACAAAGAATGTGTTCGCTGTGTTGCAAGTCCAAAGGAACTCAAAAGTGCTGGCATTTATTTGACTGATAATTTGCCTTAATGTTGGGAAGATTTGTAATAAGCTTATAAGTGCAAAGGTTACTACCACAGAACTATTGAGCTGTCATAACAGAACTAGTGAAGTAGTCCATGGTTGAGCAAACTTATGGAAAAGTTGAGTGTGCTGTAAAATGGACAACTAGCTGGAGTTGTTAGGCAACAAAGGCAAGTGGGCTGCATGAACAGCCAATATCTGTTTGGTGCTGTAAATTTGATGGCTTGCACTGAGTGTAATAGAAATTGGTGGATTGCTTTGGTTAAACTTCTCTCCAATATAGGTTTTGTAATTTCACTCCACTTTGTAGCGAAACAGTAATACTGTATTTGGTAACAGATTCTTTCCAACAACAATAAAACAATCAAATTATATTTTGTAAAGATGGGAAATAAATTGTCAATCTGCCTGCCAACTTCCATTTCACCATTCTTTGATGTTGTTAAGATGTCCTACACTAGTTAGGAACTTAGGATTAGGAATATAACCAAAATATTCCTGATAAGTCTTGGGTAATCCTTTTTCCTTGGGCTATCTCGAGTCTCGGTAAATGCAACTGTATTAAATAATCAAAGGGGGAGTTTTGCTACCCATAGTAGTCCTACCCAACTTGAACAAGTTTACCTCAAGTGGAGGATACATGTGTTCTGGACAGAAAAAAAAATAATATGGTATCAAAGTCTATCATAATTTGATATTGGTCCTCACTCAATTATTCAAAAATGAACTTGGCTCGTGAATTTTTTTAGTGCAATTAATTTGGTCTTGGAAATTCCTAGTGCAATCTACTTGGCCCTGCAGCTTCCCCAATGCAATTCACTTGGGCTCATGGCTTTCCTAGTGCAATACAATAAAAAAAATCTACAATCTTCACATTCCAGCTGTCCAGTCCTAAACATAAGGGGTGTGTGTGTTGAGATTTCACATTGACTGTAGATATAATCAAAGTAGAGCTTATAAAGGCATAAGTAATTTTTATACCTTGAGAAAACTTTTGGGAATGAGTTAGATCCCATTCATTTTTAATATGTGGTAGAGTCTAACCAGTCATAATGTTAGGCCACTTGCAAATATTCAATTTTGTGAACTTGTGAGAGGGTGTGATAAGATGTCCAGCATTGATTAAGAATATAGTTAAAATATTCTTTATAAGATTTGGATATTTCCTCCTTTGAGCTAACTTTTATGGTTGAGTTAGGCCCAACCTAAATTCAAAAGATTTTATAATTGTAGGTGTTAGACTAGAGATATGGTATTTATTTTGGGCTGTCATCAGCTCCATTTGGAGGTTTTTGGACTTGAATTATCTTTGGTTTAAGAAGTGTAAGAACAATTATTAAAAGAAAAATTCTATACAGGGGGTGCTGGATAATTTTCAGCCTAGACTTATAATGTTGAGGTGATGAGAAAATGGGAGATTGATAAATTATGATTCCTTGTTTTCTTCTCGCTGAGAAATGTTATTCTTGAAGCATAACCTGATAGTGGAAAATACTTTTGAATGAGGAAATTCATGCAGTTCTGGCTTGAAAGTGTTGTAATTGTTTGCACTTTAGTTGTTTTTTCAATTCTTCTACTGTTTAGAGTCCTAACTTCTCTACTTAATAAATTTCATAGATTATGTTTTACTTTTTCAATTCTTGATCCTGAGCTAAATGCTTTTTGTGTAGCAGGCTAGTAGCTATTGCTTACTAGAAGTGCTGAGAGTTATTATTTTGACAAAAAAATTCAACTTCAGTTTCTGCATTTATGTGCTGCCAGGAATCATCAACGTTGCGGATGAATTTTTTGGAACATGCCAATTTAGTGAGATATGTTCAACAATGTAAGACAGAACTTATAGAAGCTGGTACTTCTTCCAGTGATCCATATTTTCATGCAGACCCATCATCATCAGCTTCTAGAGGTCGCTCAAATTCAAGTAAGATATTTTTAAGATTTATTTGATGGATTTCCTTGACAAGTGTTACCAATGCATCCTTATTTTCCTTTTCTTTTTACTTTAGATAACTACCATAGAACACTTCTCTCTTTTTTGTTTGAATTGTTTGTAGTTAGGGGTGTACATGAGACAGATTTATTTCTATCCTTACTTGACAAAAAATTTTGATAGTGTTATTGGGATAGGACCAGGTCAACTTGTTGTACAGGCAAAATATATCAATATTAACATTATGTATGGGTAAATCATAAAATTAAAATTAAGGTATATTTTATTATTTATATTTTAAAACAAATAATATAATTATAAATATGATACCATGATATGCAAAGTATTATCTATTAAGTGCTTATTACTTATATATAATTGCTTAAAAAATATAAGTTTTAAAAGAAAAAGGACAACAGGTTAGGTTGAGACAACTCGATATAATGGGTCTAATTATGAAAATTCAAACCTGTCAAAATTAACATCGGACTAGGATAGGTTGGTAAGACCAGTGGGTTCTTGTACATCCCCCCTACTTGTAGTAATGATGTTAATAGAAAAATAGTGGCTTGAAATATACTGGCTTGATATTGTAGCAATAGGATAGTACCACTCCTGTCTGTAGCTACTCTGATGTCTGAAATATTCCTGATATGGACTAGAATAGTCTGAAATGTGTAGGTTTCCAGTAGCTGTGTGTTATAGGAATGTGTTTAATACAACCCTTGAATTAAAGTTAATCACTCAACGTTTCTTGATGTGGAATCTTGTGATAAATTGGTTGCCATACTTGCTCAACAAATGAGCTATGAAAACATGATGAATTATAGCTTAGGTTTGTGATCTTGTTCCTTGATCATATGCTTTGCATCATAAATCTTAAATACTTCTAGTAGTTGCATGCGTTGCTTTTAAAAGCCTTATAAGCTTAGGTTTCATTTTAGAATGCTCATTATGAAGTAGTTTATATAAGTTTTAGTCCAATGCCCTAAAAGACATGATGTGCTTTATTTTTTCATGAACGGAATGCATCTATCATCATATTGATAAATTTAAAACATCTAACTTGGCAATGAAGATCCTAAGGAGGTAAAATAATCAGAATATTAAAAAATGTTAATTGTTTGTCTTTGAGAACAGGTTTTATGTAACATGGACATTTGAATTTTTTATTTTTATTTTGAATGTTAATATAAATATTTGAAATGAGGTAGAGGGAGATCTAAAAGAACTATAAAAGAAATTATTAAATGAGGTTTAGTGATAAATAATATCTCAAAGACTTTGGTTTTAACTGAACTCAATGATGTCGTGTGATATATATAGTTGATCTCACTTAGTAGGATAAGATTTTGATTCTTGTTGTATGAATGTTAGTATGTTATGCTTGATCACTTCCGTTCATATTGAAATACAAAATAGTCAAACATTTTACTGTTTATGCTTTTTCTTATATTAATTCTTTACATCAAGGCATTGATACCCTCTACTACCTTAAGGACATCTTTCACCTTTGACTGCCTTCTTTCTATTTATGGAGCTTTTTTAGTTTATTGAACTAAAACTATTTGTTACACTGCTAGGATATACTAATTCCATGAAAATGTTTTTTTGCTATTTATTTTGTTATATAAATATATATTTTTTTGTTTGCTATTTTGAGTTCTTATATTCTGTCATTCTTAAAGATTGATTTGTCTTGTTTTTTCCCTATTAGGTTCAAAGTCTAAGAGCAGACCCAAAAGAAAGCAGCAAACAAAGGAAGAGAAAACCTTCAGAAGAAGGGCCAAATATTTTGTGGTAGCACAGCTGGTTGCTGTTGTTCTTTTCCTCAGTATCATGCCTGCATATGGTGATAATGCTGACATGGAGTTGGACGATGACTATGCAGGCTATGGTTATGATGAATGAAATTTTCATCCATTTGTTTATCTCCCACTCAATGTCAAAGCCTTGTGTTACTGCATGTTTAAGATGTGCCCCTTTTTTTTTGTGTATGATGCAAAGTTACAAGTACATAAAAATAAAATTAACATTCACATCAAAATTTACTATTTGGAGCATCCATTTTTCAATACTTGTTGATTTTCAGCAGATTGATCATTGTTTCAGAGCAGTAGCTATAATTATTCTTTGGATTATGTTGCTGTTTTTTATTTGTGGGAGTGAACCATGACTTGGAAGGGTCTATAGGTCTGTTATTAGCCTTATGCATATAAATTTTGGGACAGATTTATTTATTATTATCTTGTGCATAACTTGAGATAAAGATGCTAATCCTTTTACAAGAGCCAATCCATCGAAGGATATGTAAAAGGAAAAGTTGAGCAATGAGTTTTATCTCATGTTAAATATTTTCAATTAGGCAAGAATAATGCTATTCAGTAAGGGCAAAAATTTGATAGAATTAATCAAGGTTTAAGGGTGATGAATGAATAAGTTGGCGAGCTATCATAATTTGTAGGGTAAATTACACTCATTTCTTTGGTGAGCTATCATATTAATCAACCCCACATAGTTCCTCACTTTTCTTTGTGTCACTTAACTTCCTTATGGTGTTAAATTTTTTGTATTACTTTAGTCTCCAGATGGGAGTTCATAACTATAAAAAAAAAGAAAAAAAAAAGAAAAAGAAAACCTAGAGGGGTAAATTAAAAAGGCATGAAATTACAAGGAGTTAAGTGTAATTTGCTGTAGATTTTAAAATATTGCTAATTTGTATCCGTAAAAGTGACAAATAAAAAGAATCTTGGTAGCATATCCAACCAGCCAATCATTTAATGATTTTCTTAATGTGTTAGTTTCCTTCATTTAGATATCATTACCTATATAGAAAGGCTGGCGTTGTATTCAATTTTAAAAACAAATGAAATACTTACAAGTGAATGAAATCTTCATCTTTTCGTCAGTTACGAGATCATCTGTTTTGTGTGTGAGAGAGTTTATTTGGTGAGGTAATGATATAAGGATATCAAAAAATGAAAACCACATGTTTTTAAAACCTTAAGAGAACAAAAAAGAGAAAATGAGAAAAACTACATATTCGTACCATACAAAAGCTTTATGAATCTTGTTGAGTAGTTTGGCTTTTTCTTCTATAGTTGATTAGTCTCATGAGAGTTTTGTGACGGTGACTATAACAATGTTCGGTTTTACATGAGAAGAAAAAGGTTGTTGAAATGGTGTTTGGTTTCTATGAAAAAAATTGGGAAAAGGAAAGATGGTGGGTCTCTATTTGGCTTTAGGATCCTAGACATGCCACTGACACCCTGCATGGTGATATTGGAATACCTCCCTTTACTAGGTACAACTTTTCCTAAATAAATAAAATAAAAGACAATCTAAGAAACATGTTGCAATTTGGTTACCAAAATACGAAGTTCTAAATGGAATAATCAATCACTTGTATGTTTGATAGGTTACCAGTCATAAAAAAGCAACGGCCCATATTTCATAAAGTGATCTAATGGGTCCGAATGCTGCCAAACAGGTAAGCAACAAAAAGAGGATTTTTACTTTTTACATTCCTTTTTTTATCTTCTAGAAATAAGATTTTGAAAAGTATTATTTATTTTCAAAATTAAATTATGAAAGAAACACCATCTATATGTGAAAACTTTTGTTTAATTATCCTTTTACTTGATTTTAATTTTTTCTAATATAACTAGTAAAATTGTACAATTCATTCCATAAGAAATTCAATTTGAAATTTTGCTCTTATATATTGAGAAGCGCTGAGTAAAAAAGTAAGAATATATTGATCGATAATTCATTATTCAATAAAAAATTTACTACTTTTGGGTAAACGAATTCAGTTTTAAGAATTGAAGTTGATTTTCTTTAGGGTTGAGGTTAATATTTTCTTTTAATTAATTGTAGATATATTTTTGTTTATTTTTTAACTTTATAAATCTTATATATTTTAAAAGAGTTAAATTATAAATTTGTATTAAATATAATTTGATTAATATACATATATGTATATATTAATCAATTACTATTGATTACTGTGCTGTAAAATGCAACTCCATCCGTTGCACACGTCAAAACTTATTTCATATTAAAAACAAGATTAAGAGATTGTTCAACGTACATATACTGCATTATCATTTAGCTTTCAGTAATTCAGTTAGGTGAGGTAGGCAAGCTTTGATTAAAAGGATATTAGTAATGCAAAAACGACAAAAGCTACTGCAGGCATTGGCTGACAATGGTGTATCATAGTGTTGAATTTTTTAGTAAGTTATACGTATACAACCACTCTAAATTTTAGTTACTACAAAATTTCATTTGTTTTTAGGACCCAAAATGATTTTCAGAAACCAAAGGACTTAGACCCCCAAAAAACACAAAAAAGAAATCCACTTGAACAATGTGGGTGCAATTGCCCATGCTATACTACCTTTGTATTGATTAGTTAACATAATTACATTGTCAGACACTCATTGCTAAACAAGCCTAAACTAATCAACTAAGCACACAAAATGTGAGACATCTATGATGTTCTAGCCTCACTAGAAGTATGTTGTTGACACTTGACATTTTCCCATTGCTTAACAACTTCATTGTACCCTTCAGCAGAATCCAAAGAAAACTCTGCCAGTGAGCTAATAGCAACAGACATTCCAGCACAAAGAACCTTAATAGCAACTTCAGCTAGTTTCTCTGGAGCCATTACCACATCTTCCACCTCACCAACTTCCACCATTTCCATATTCCCATAACTTTGTTTTGATCCAAATGAGTTTCTCCTAGAATCTTCTCTTAATTGATGTGCATAGAGGGACCCCATTCCAGCTGCAAAAAAGTCTAAGCCATCAAGCACTGCTTTTTCATGTATGGCATCTAAACGTCTTGACCATTGAACACACAGTCCAAATAAAGGGTGAGTGCCACTGGACCTATGAGGAGAGCATGGTAGCTTTGATGCATCAGGCTCAGATCTCACACACCTAAGAAGCCATCCAGTTAATGAATGAATGTAGGATCTTTGAGAAGTGATCCATGACTCAAAGGTGTTTCTCCAGTTCCTTAACTCGGATTCGAGATTCGAGGCTGAACGTGCAAGCCGGTTTGGATCAGTCATTGAAATGGAAGAGTGCTTTCTGGCATGTGATTTAGAAGGGGTGCCAGCTAGAAGAATCTTAGCTTCATCTAAGGTTCTCTTCTGTGTCTGATGACACTCTGCCATCACTTTCCACATCCTTTCTAGCCTGTCATTTGTATAATTGAAGAATCAGCAAGCATAATATTATGTAAATACGTGCAGTGCTAGTGTGATATATCTGCATTATAAGGTGGATGTAGGCTGTTTCCTCTAAACAACATAAAATTGTTGCTCATGAAAAAGTTAAAACAAAGAATTAATTGATAACACATTATGGAGGTAATGGAAAAGACGAGGCTAAGTAGATGTTTGGTAAATTTATGACTCCATTTCGTTTTGCTCTACAAATTGAAGGAATGTGTGACAAAGGAAAATTCTCACACCAAGTACAGCTACAAGCAATGAAACATTATAGAAATTCAACAATGCAAGTCTGAATAATTTCATCTGAAATTTTGTGATTATTACCAAATAAAGTCTATCAGTCCTATCTTTCTTTTAAGAACATTAGTTTGGGTTGAAGAGCGGCCTTATTTGTATAATTGAAGAATCAATTAAGCATAATCTTTTGTTCGATGACATACAATGCTAGATAGATATACCTGCATTTGGTAAGGTGGATGTAGATTGTTTCCTTTAATTTAAGAACATACAGTGATGCTCATGTAGAGATTAAAAACCAATAATTTAAGCATGATTGTATAAAATTGAATGTGTAGTTTGTTGAATGCAGGATTCCTATCATATTAGTAGTTTTGCACCAAGTACATAGCAAATGTTATGAAGGTGGAAACCTTGACAGGGTTAAGTGGATGTTAGGTAAATGTGTTTGCTCCAGCAGGCTTTACTCAGCAAGTTGATGGCATGTGTGACAAAGGAAAATTCTAATATTAAGTAATAAGAACTGCTGAAAGTATAGAAACATTTCAGCAATTCAATTATATAACTCAGTATGTCTTCATCTGTAATTTTGTCATTAGTGCCAGAGTCTTGTGGCTCTTTTAGGAAAATTAGTCTTACAGAATCAAATGAAACATTAGCAGCATGTTTGAAGTCTAAAAAATACTTCAAATTTTGGCAGATTTTAGTTCATTTTATAAAACAAAGAAGCATAGGGGTAGTGACTTTCGTACATACCCTTGCACCAATTCAAGAAGTTGGGGATGCAACTCTTCGTCCCTTAGAGTTTCAATTCTCCTTGAAATAGCTTCAACTGAGTGTATTGAAACTGTTATCTGGGTGTCTAGATCTCTAATAGCTGATCTTGTTTTATCTGCACAGGAGGGGTCCTCTCCTTTTACATCAAGGTTCCTGAGTTGCTTGCATTTCTTCTCATAAGCAATTCGGACACGTTCTCCAGACTGTTGAAGAAGAAAGTGGCCACAAAAACTAATAAGTTTCCCAACATTAAAATAAAATTGTATTTCATCACAAGCATAATGACCTGTAACAATAATGAATATGTTTGAGGCTTTGAGCTGTTAAACATCTAATGGAAAGGTTTATACTAATTAGTTTGCATTGCAGCATAGTGATTTTTCACATTATGTTTAAGCTGAACCTATTTCATGATTACTCCTACAGAATTACTATGAGAAGTTATTTCATTTCATATCTAGTAATAACAATAAGCTGTGTATTAGCCATTGATGAATCCATAACACGAGTCAATCATTGAATTTGGTGATCCCTCAAGAGTAAGGATATATGAATCTGAGGGATTTTCTGCAAAGAAGCTTGCTTATATAATTAAGAAAAAGCCCAAAAGGACTTAAAACCAGGTCCTTAGGCTTTTCTAAGTAGAAGTTATATGTTTCTAAGAATGATGCCAGAGAGAACTTCATTGAAATAAATTTTTAGAAAGCTTTGATTTCCTCATGATGTAAGATAAGGTCAGTAGTATACCTTCACTTCCTCATAGAGCTTCTTCTCCCATGCATTTAATCTGTCCAATGTGGATTGGTGACTACCGGATAACATACAATGTTCCTCAGAGAGATCCTTAGTTCCATCACAACCTTCCTTTCTAGTGCTTGAATTATTCATTAAAAATCTTGATGACGAAGAGCGTGAAGAAGCAGAGCGGAGCAAAGCTACCGGGTTCAACAATTTTGATGCTGCAAATGAAATATAACTAAAATTTATATTCCTGAAAATTCACAGATAGATATCAATAAAAGAAAAAAAGAACATTTTCTGTGGTGTGAACTCCTCCACAAATAAGAACTTTTAGAATGATGTTCATTATCAAACTTTAGGCTGCTAATTCATTCTTTTTCATTCATTAGGGGTTCACTCATAAATCTGACTAATATGGAAGCACACTTCAACAAAATGAAAATATAAATTGTAAATTTCTATCGAACCTGATAGTTCATTAGATGTCAATAAATACTGAGATTTCTTGGCCTCTAACAATGCCGAGACATCATTGGCTGCATTGCAAACAATTGTGAATTGAGCTTCAAGATCATTGATCACTTCTGCCATGCTTGTTGGCCTTCGGTTTACATAAACAGTAAAGCCTGGTGTTTCATCCTTAGCTTCTTGTTTACCAACTGCCATTTCTCTATGGCTGGACTCAACATGACCTGCAGTTTGAGCTTTTGACACATCAAAACTTACACTACCATGAGCTTGTGAATTATTAGCTCCAAGGTCTGTTTTATTTTCAATTTCAATGTCTGTTCCCTCCTCTTCCTCTTCCTCCTCGTCGTCCTCCTCCTCATCCTCATCCTCATCCTCATCATCAACATCTTCAACAATGACTTCTTCTTTGGAAGAATTTACATCATTTCTAGTTCTTTCTTCTGCTACATTTCTCTTCCCAACATAGTATTCTTGCTCAGTTTCATCTTCTTCCAAGTCAGGTATTCCCTCTTCTTCTCTAACCTGCCTAAGTCCTTTGTATTCATCATCCATAGCAGCGTGCTCAAGGCTACTCCTTGCAGGATAACCATAGTAGTCCAATGATGAAAAGGGGTTCCAAAAGAAGTCCCACTGAGAAGCCTGAGGTGAAGAGGGAGGGATGTTGGGCCTATTATTGGGAGAGTAAGCAAAAATTGAGGGGTTCGCAGGTGATGATTGCATGTTGAAGAATCCATCAATGCCATAGTGCTGCATTGGAGGATATGTCTCCACCCGAACCATTTCAGGTGACTGAGGCCTTTCCTCAACTGAAATTGCAGGATTACCACCTGGCCTAAGGTAGTTCACTTTCAAAGTAGAGTTTGGTCCAACACCAAACTCAATTGCCGTTGTTGGTGTGAAGGGTTTTGCTGATATGGGAATGAAGGCAGGGGTAGTTCTCTTGACAGGTGTGAATGGTGGGGTGATAACTGAGTCCAATGAGAACTCACGAGGCTCATCACCTTCAATGTAATCACGAAGTGCTGCTGAAACTCTCTTCAGAGATTCTATGTACGCTATGTGTCCTGTGGCAAATAGGGTTCTTTGTTCAACAGCTTGTTTGATGAACCTTTTCCTATCTTTACAAAGCTGCACTGCTTCTTCGTCATCAAGCCTTGAATGTGAACATCCCATCTCTTCCTCCTTATTCCCCTATGAATGAATGTCTCAAGCTTGCATTGAAATTGAAACGAAAGGGGAATCTTTCTCTATGCCTCACCACATTCATAAAGAAATCATAAACCTGTCACCAAAAGTAGAGAAGTTCAACAACATGCACTAGAATTCCATCAAACTTGAGTAAATCAGAATAAAATAAAGTAAAAATATGAAAATAATATTATGTTTGAACCAAATAAGACTAGCAATGTTAATGAAGTTGGATGCTACTAGAAGAAGGGTGATGAAAATTCAAACATGCTTAACAGAAGCAAGAAACAAGTGGAGATTTTTCAAAGCCGAAAACTCCACGTTTTCCGGGAAAACAAATTATGCTCTATCAAAAATAGAACACATGAAGAAAGCATGTAGCTTTTCAGCAGGAGAATTTTCATTTTGCTTAGGTAGAAAAAAAATCAGTTAAATCTATAAAAAAAAAAAAAAACATTTCTAAAGAGAAAATAATAATAAGGCAGACACTAAAACAGTCGTCAATCAGCTGAATTAACAGTAGATATAGGACCATAATTCTATGTAAAATAGATAAATATAAATTTAGAAAAATTCATAGAGCAAAAAATTAAAGATAAAACAAAAGATACATTTATATATATATATAAAAGAAAGATCAAAGGGGAGAAAATGAACGAAAATAACACAAAAGAGCTTCTAAACATAAAAAAATGAGTACCCATTTTCAGGAAGGAAAAAAACAAAAGCATGTTCACGTTGGGTTTGGTTATGGAAGCTTAGAAGGGAGAAGAAACATAGCAGTGAAGGAAAAAGAGGGTGTTTTTGATGATGAATAGTGGAGAGGGAATCAGAGAGAGAGAAGGGTGTGTGTGTGTGAACAGAGAAAGACGTTGAGAGGGGGGTAAAAAAAAGCAACGGTCAAAACACAAGCAAGAAGAAAACATTAAAAACAACAAAATTATAAAAAAGAAAAAAAAGAGAGAGAGAGCGAAAATTAAAAGCTTTGGTTTCAGGGTTGGGCAGCTAATAAAGGAAGAAGAGGATGAGAATATGACAATATTGGGTCACTGCCCTTCATGTTGCCCCGAATTTCTAGAATGCCACAGTTGCCTTTTTTTGCTCAATCACAATTTTTGTTTTTTACTTATGAAAATTTTCATGAAAGTGACTGGTCAAAATGTGTCATTAATGGGACCCAACTATCATATGCCAAATAATGCTGTTACAGATATGTGAAGGTAAGTGTTAAGACTTAAGATGGTGATATTGCTTATTCCTTTTGGTCAAATTTGTTGTAATGTGGGAATGTTAGTCACTTGTTACCATGTTTGAACACTTGCAAATCACTCCCGAAGGTTATAATTTATACAATTTAAATAAATTTGACTGTAATTTAAATATGTTATTGAGTTATTTGAAACAATATATAAATGTTTTATAAAAATATTTTACAATTTTTAAAAATTTATTTTAATAATTGTCTGTAAAATTTATTATCATAAATTATTTAAAGTTATTTAATAAGCTTAAAAACACAAATTTATGATTGTTTGCATTACAATACATATACATATATACTTGATAAATAATTTTTATTTTTGTCATCATCAACAACTGATGGGACATTTCTAGTAATATTTTTTATTAATACAAAAAATAATTTATCAAATGAAAGTATATAGAAGAAAAATCAGGCTATACAATAACCATTTAAGTAAGAAATTAAGGAAAAAAAAACTTCCTCACGTAATTCCGTAATGGGACATAAATGGAATCTATCTACAATACTTGTCAAATTTAAACACAAGTGTTCTAATTAGTGTTCAAGTAAACATTTTAATTAGTATCCACTAATAAACATGTCAATTAAATTTAAATAATCCCGTATATCAATAAATGCATATGTACATAAAATCTTGAATATAAATTTGGAAATAGTCTCATGTTGCATAATCATGGTATTAGAATGGTCATGTTTTTCTAATTTAGAAAACAATAAGCAGCACAATTAGGACAATAAATGACATACATGAACTATAAACAAAACTTCTCGATCCAAAGATAAGGGCTACGTCATACTCGGAAAAATTGCTTAGATTGAAACAATTTAACAACAAATAAAAGTTAATAAACGTCAAGAAAAGAAAAATTAGGTATCTTTGAAGGCCAATGAATGGTGTGGTGGTGAATTCATAATCCTAAAGGCATGCAAGAAAGATGAAGTACGTCCAAGAGAAGACCATGTGACATGAACAGAAGAAACACAAAAATTGAGACACCCAATCCAACCCTTACCCACACACACTCTTCAAGGTGAAACTGAAAGGAACTCACGAGTCACAACCTTTGACACTTTGTGACCGGATAATATGGGTGATTGTTAGGGACCCACAATTCATGGGTCATACCCTTTGTAACGCACTAGCTCACTCTTGTTTCACTTGTAATTCATGGCTGAACCAGGGATATTTTTGTACTTTCATTGATCCAAGTGCTTGGCTTTTTAGGGCTGAAAGATGAGGAAAGGAAAACGAGTGAAGAATTTGGAAAAGCAATAAAGCATACAACTCGGCAATAAAGGAAAAGAAAGAACGTAGGATGCTTGGTAACTTCCTATATATATATATACAAGAAAACGGTGTTCTCAGTGTTTTTCCATCACAATTTATTCCTCTGGGACCAACTTGCCCTTCACCACCGTTTCTTATCCCTCTTGATCGAAAGTCCAAACCCTTTATTCCAATTTTATGTTTTGAAATTTAATCAATATTCACCATGTATATATAATAGTCTTCATGTTATGTAAACTATGAATGTGCATTTCACTGGTCATTCACGTTGAGGGTTGAAACTTTAGGTTAACTTCGATATTCTATATCTTTCCTTTTGTTTATAGAAGTGAATGGAAAAACAGTTGATCATAAATATTACCAATGGCAAGTGTTTGTGCTTGAATGTGACCAGATACCACTAGTCAACACAACTAGCTGTGAGAGACGACTTTTACATCAATAAATAGGAATTGGAATTCGACCTTTTTCTGATAAGTTCACTTTGCATAGATGCTTCGGGTTATTCCATATTAATTAAATTTCTTAGCTCACTTTACTCATTGTTGTTATCTTCGACTTCATCACCATCTGAAACTTACCTAACTACTAACTACGTACCTACATACTTACATCACAACTCATTCTCAACAGTCATATTAATTAATCACACCATGCTGATGGATATTTTAGATTTTTAAAACTTTACAGTATATTTTATTCAACCACTACATATCCAAATATTTCAATCCTGATGTTGAAAGGTTAACAAACACCTAGGTTGGTCTAAGACTACGAGATAATTGAAGTTTTGGCTTTTATGCAATCAAATTGCATTGAGGTGAAATTTATAAAAATTTATTGTCATACTATAATTTAGGATGATTTTAATACGTTGCCTCGTGATTAGTGGACTTGTCCATATGCTTTCTATTTGTGTTTAACTAGATTTTTATTTTTTCTATTCAAATTATTCTTTAAATGATTGTTCCACGCTTACAGTATTAAAATTGCATTTCTTCATAAGTATTTTCTGCTTTGAGCCTTCCCATTTTCCTTCAATTTTCAAACTTTCATTTACCACTTAAACTATCATTCATCGTGAGTATGCTTATAGTAATTTAACATCATAATATACCTTTTATAATTTGTGCTATTCTCATGCACATTTTATGCCTTTGTGTTTATTTTTAAACTAGGAAAAATGATAAGAAAACATGTATTTTTTCCCCTTAACTATGTATAACATGTTAAAATTTGTGCTCAGTTATAATATATTTTACTACTGCTATATATAAATATTATTCAAAAAACGTTAAAACATATCAAAATATTATGTTTACTTTACAATTTGTACGCACAACCTTTTGGCTAAAGGAAGTACATAAAACACTATTTATATTTTTAGTTGTTTTTTTTTTAAGGTTATAGCACGTGAACTAATTAATAACTTTATAAATGTAAATTATTTTTAAAAATTTATTGTAATTTTTATATTTGTTATTTTAATATTTTCTTTATAAATTTTATTGTAAGTATCTCAAAAAATAAAAAATAACCAAATAAAATGAAATGATTGAGAAAATAATGACTAATATTTTATAAAGTTTCAATTAAAGAATAAATCAATAAAAGGTAATAAAAAGGAATATGGGAGGTATATAGTAATTTTACATGATAAAATAAATAAGTAACTTTTAGAGAACAAGTGATTATGCTAAAATTACAAAAGTCACGTATTAAAATTAGATTAATCACATGGTAAAATTTATATTTAACTTAGTACTGTTTTTATATTTTAATAATGTTTGCAAAAAGAAAGTGAGCAACAATTCTTTACAAAGCACAAAAATAAAGTAAAATGTTTTTTCTTTGACACATTTTAGCATTACGTGAAGAAAACGTATTATGACCAGTAAAAGAGAAAAAACGAAAATAGATTGTAATGTACAATTAAGGCTTTTAGAAAAAAATTATTTAAAAATTGTATCTATATAGTGAAAATTTATTTTGTGCTTTTCGCTGCCACTAAAAAAGAAAGATGTAGATTGTAAATATAAGAAACGCAACATAACGACAAGGATTCTGTAACGTCACCATGGATTCCATGGATCCCACGCAGACAGGACTACACCAGTACGTGTTAGGACATAGGCACTTCTATTTTAAAGTTAGAAAATCATTTTAATAAATTTATTTAATTTATATAATCATATTTAATAATTTAAAATCAATTACATACAATTAAATTTTAATCGGCTTTCAATTAAATGAACATAATTGATAATTAATAGATCGTTAAGAATTATTAGAAGTGGTTATAATATGTTGGATCAAATTTAGTTTGACTTTTTTTTATTTGAAATTGCATAAGGTTATTTAAATTTAAATTCGATTTAGTGTTAAAAATGAATTTTTAAGACTCAATAATTTATGAATAGAACTTGTTGATTAGTTTAATTTATCAATCTATAATAAATTATAGCAACATATATAACTAAATATGAATTTAGCTAATTATGAAATCAATATTATTATTTTATTATATATATTTATATATATCAAATAAACAATATCATAAGAGCACAGTGAGAGATTATAAACACTAAAGATTTAAAGAACTGAAGAGGATGGGATATCATGAAAAGCAAGAGAAAAAGATAAATACTAAATTTAAAAATCTTTTGATGGTATAACACCACATTAAATTAAAATTAACAAGTACAAGTTATATTATTAGCTGTAAGCTGGTGTATGAATACAACTTTTATGAATTAATTGATCATATTTTCAAACAAGGGCATTTCAAATTACTCTTACCATATATATCTTGGACTTATATATAATAATAATAAAACTTTTATATGAAATAAAATAAGAATAATTTACTATTAAGTAAAAATAAATAAAAAGTTTACGTGTCTCTTTTACGTTTTCTTTCTTGGCAAGTAAGTAGGGTCAAAGGCAGCTTTACACTTGTGGTAAAATATTAGTTTAGGCAGCAATACCCTCAAAATGACAGATGAATGAAAAAAAGAAAGCACAGAAGTGCTTAGTTAGTTTTCTTGGTATGTTGTCTTATTAATCTGTGCTTGACCAATTTGATTTACATTTATGTTGTCTTCTACTAGGTAGATAGATCAGATCTATGCATTTTGATCCATCGTGCATGTGTGTCTTTACCTCCTCGTCTTTAATTGTGTCGTTATCACTTTTAATGCCTTCTTTGATTCCGTTTTTCTTTTTGGCCGCGTTCTTTCATGTTCCTGTCTCAGGTAAAGTTCATCACCACCTACAAATGGCATTTGCAGCCTCTCAAAAGAACATAAATTAAAGAGAAAAGAAAACTCGTTATTAAAATTTTATCGTGATGATCTAGTTGCTATGCTTAAAAAGACGTTTACAAACATATTTTAAATATTTAATTAGAATTATATTTTCAGAGACTATATTTTATTGATAAAGTTGTATGAATACTAGCTGTATTAAATTATTAAATGCACTATGTTATGTAAAAGAGTCAAAGAAGTTAAACAAGATTGCCCAGTGATATTGCGATTGAAGTGCAGTCAGCTTCTAAAAGCTTTCAGTGTTTTTTTTCAAAATAAAATAAGAAATGAAAACTAACCAGTAAACAGAAAATATTTGGATTCGTGGAAAATGATCCGAATATGTTTTATTTTGCATGATTGATTTTAACAAACATTAAATTTTATTAATTTAACCGTTGAATTATTTAATATTATTTACGTGATCTTGAATTTAAAATTTTACATTTATACATATGTAATGTTATATCTAATATTTATTTATATTTTAAAAAAATATACAGTAGTCATAATAAAGTTATGTGATGAACTATATTATATAATGTTTCAAATTTGTAAAATTTTATGGAATATTAAGTAAATTAATGAAATAAATTGTCTATAAACAAAATCAAATTTTTTTTTTTTTCAACTTATGCGATTTACTCCCAAACATTTGTGCTAACTTATTCATGGAATATTGGGCTTGTAAAAAAATTGGAACGATATGGGCCAGAGGCTAGGCCTGGTAACCTGTTCCAAGATTTGGGCTTGCAGAAAAACAAACTACAAAGTACCAAAAAGAGACCACCCCTAAGAACATGATGGAAAGACTACTTTTTGAAAACGCATCTAATGTATAGTTTAAATTTCTTAATAATTATAAGTTTTTATAGTTCAAATTTAACATATAAGTGTTTATATTATTATAAAAAAGTATTTTTGTCAAAACTATTCAAATCCTCATTATTTACTCAAATTATCTGTAAAGTGGACTAATTAAATTGTTTTAGAATCATTTTACTTAAATTTATAAAATTAAAAAAGTCATTGAAATCATGAGTACATGTTTTATAAAAAATTATAAATATATAACCATTTGAATTATGATCCTAACAATAGGAAATGAAGGAGATTGATTTGGCGGCACGGCAGTGGGCGTTTGAAAATGCAGAAGTTGCAAGCGCAAAGCAGCAGAGAGCACAAAGCAGAGAGTCTAATAACCTTACTGAAGAAATGTTCATCGACGAAAACAGTCCAACAAGTGCACACCCAAATGGTAGTGAACTCAATCCACAAACCCAACCATCTTCTCTCCCAAACCATACACATCAAACACTACCCCTACGCTTCCCTTCTCTTCTCCCACATCGCTCCTCACCCCAATGACTACGCTTTCAACATCATGATTCGCGCCCTCACCACCACCTGGCACCACCACGCCCTCTCCCTCTCCCTCTTCTACCGAATGAAGTCTTTGGGCCTCACGCCCAACAACTTCACCTTCCCCTTCTTCTTCCTCTCCTGCGCCAACCTCACCCACTTCCACCACGGCCGTTTGGGCCACTCTTTGGTGTTCAAACTTGGACTTCACTCTGATCCACACACTACTCATTCTCTCATTACCATGTACGCGCGGTGTCGTAAATTGTGTTGTGCGCGCCAGGTGTTTGATGAAATTGCTCACAGGGACTTGGTGTCGTGGAACTCCATGATCTCGGGGTATGCCAAGACGGGGTATGCCAGGGACGCCGTGGAGGTGTTTGGGGAGTTGAGGAGGGAGGGGTTTGAGCCTGATGAGATGAGTTTGGTGAGTGTGCTTGGTGCTTGTGGGGAGTTGGGGGATTTGGAGTTGGGGAAGTGGGTGGAGGGGTTTGTTGTGGAGCATGACATGAGGCTTAATTCGTATATAGGCTCCGCTTTGATTAGTATGTATGCTAAATGCGGGAATTTGGGATCGGCTAGGAGGATCTTTGATGGAATGGCGAAGAGAGACGTGATCACCTGGAATGCAGTGATATCGGGGTGAGTATGTTGTTGAAATTCTTACTGGAGTGAGTGCTTGTTGTTTTGGTTTGGCTTATTTTTTAGAATTAATCGCCTATTTCTTTTGCCTTTCTGAGAGAGCTTTTGAAAGATAAGCCATTATTTTCCTAGAATTGAGATGAATCAAAGGTGTTGTTAACTTATTATTAGTTGGGCATTATTATATGTGGTGTTTTATATTGTAGGTTTATTATGCTTTGTTTGTGTGAAAGAAGCATAGACACTTCAAAATAGTAGCTTGTTGTGTCGACTACATCATGGACACTTTGAATTTGAATACTTCTAGCTGCAATTTATATGCCTATTTCATATTGTATCCGTGTTGTGTGTTGTAAATTGTATCAATACTTTCTAAGTTTGTGTTCTGATCAGTGTTTCCAATTGTGAGTCTATCTTGAATTAGTTTTCCCATGATCTCAAATTTTTTGTTTTTATTTTTCAATTTATTCTGTGATTTATGCTTACGTTACAGATATGCTCAAAATGGAAAGGCGAATGAAGCAATCTCTTTATTCCATGGCATGAAGGAGGGTGGTGTTAGTCCAAATAAAATTACCTTGACTGCAGTGCTGTCTGCGTGTGCCTCCATTGGGGCTCTGGATTTGGGGAAACAGATTGATGAATATGCATTGCAAAGAGGATTTCAGCATGATATTTTTGTGGCTACTGCATTGATTGATATGTATGCTAAGTGTGGGAGTTTGGGCAGTGCAGAGAGAGTTTTCAAAGAAATGCCCCAAAAAAATGAAGCTTCTTGGAATGCAATGATCTCTGCACTTGCTTCTCATGGCAAAGCCAAGGAAGCCCTATCACTATTTCAGCGCATGTCAAATGAGGGTGGCGGTGCTCGCCCCAACGATATAACGTTTGTAGGGTTGCTTTCTGCTTGTGTGCATGTAGGCCTGGTTGCTGAGGGCTATAGATTGTTTGATATGATGAGTACATTGTTTGGATTGGTACCAAAAATTGAGCACTACTCTTGTATGGTTGATCTTTTGGCACGTGCTGGTCATTTGCATGAAGCTTGGGATCTCATTGAGAAAATGCCTGAAAAACCAGATAAGATCACATTGGGTGCTTTGCTTAGTGCCTGTAGAAGAAAAAAAAATGTAGATGTAGGCGAACGAGTTATGCGGCTGATTCTGGAGTTGGATCCTTCAAGTTCTGGGAACTATATCATCTCATCAAAAATATATGCAAATTTGAATATGTGGGATGATTCCGCAAGGATGAGATTGTTGATGAGAGAGAAGGGTATCACGAAAACTCCTGGTTGTAGCTGGATTGAAATTGAGAATTGCTTGCATGAATTTCATGCCGGTGATGGCTTATGCCTTGACTCCATAGTTATAAGTAACACATTTATTTTGCTCCATGAGGAGCTCAAAAGGGAAGGGTATGTCCCAAAAATTGTTGAATAGATTTGTGAGCTGTGTAGGGCTAAAGATAATTTTATTGGAAGTGGCACTCAGCTATATCAGCTCAATTATTCATGTTTGTTGGATTTGTTTCACCAGATAAGTGTGATCTGACGGTACATATCAATATATAACGGGAACCTTATTTGTTTCCTGTTGATGTTTGTATCCGTTTGTACATAAAGCTGGGATATAGATCGTTTAAAGAGGAGAAGCCTCTGGAATTTACATCTGCTCAAATGCCATATAGAAATATGAAAAGGAAATTTTTATGAAACATATGCTGCTGTCTTTTGGAGTATCCATGGGCATCTCTGCTTCCACTTTTGACACATTCTTGAACCTTTGGCCCTAAGGCGTTTTTCACTTTGTCAATTTAGGGGAAAATCTAAGAACTCATTTTTCTTCTTCGGGAGAACAAGGTTTTGTATTGACGAGGGACACATCCGAGGCCAGTTGGATCTTTTGCTTTCAGGGAATGTAGCTCTTTTGTGTATCATATGAGCAAGAACCTAAAGAGAAATTTAAAATTTTGACACCATATTTATATTTGATATTGACCAATGTAGGCTTTGTTATAGTATGGCAACAAGGATTATTTTACAGATCGGATGGAATAAAGATTTTTCCTTGGGCATCGATGCAGATTCAATGGAGAATGTTGATAAAATGATTTGCTACCGTGAGATGAAAGAAGTGTAAACAAATAATGTGTACCCTTTAGTTCTTTTTGTATTTCTCTTATTGTTCTATGATGTGACCAAATTATTCAAAATCATGAGATATCTTGAGTTTAGGGTATTTCGTAGTGGACTTTCATTGTTCTTCTATGAGATAATCGGCCTTTCAGTTTAGATGGTATTAAAAGTGCCTCCTGTAATGTGTGCTTGGTAGCTAATGCTCTAGCCCCTGCCTGGAAGAGTAATCCTGTGTGCAAGTAACATTTACACACCTATCTCCTTTGGGCCAAATGGTTGCATCTTCCCATTTCTTTGTATCGTGACATTTTATCCGGGAGCTTGAAGCACGTTCTTTTCTACCATTTACTTTCTGTAATCTTCATTCCATCACCAGTATTTACATGACCCCTTTACTGTTCGAACTTTTGATGCGCTGTCAAATTCTTGAGCGAAACTCCAAATTCAACTTGAAAATTTTTACAAGGGGTCACATTAGTCCTTGATAATATAAATTTTCACATTGGTCTCGGAAAATTACAAATGCTTGTCATTTTAGTTTTTTTTAGCCCCGGGCACACTAATCCTCAAGGCTTTTGACCAAAAGTATGTATTTTTTTTTAAAACTGTTTACTAAAACGAATGTAAAAGAAGATATTTTACCTATTTAAGGTTTTCTTTTTGTCATGTCATCAAATTTATTGTCCATGTAAAAGAAAATATTATTTCATCTTAATTGTCCTTGTAAGAGGAAATATTATTTTATCTTAAAAATAAAATCGTGCACTATAGGAGCATTATACATTGTGCATATAATGTGGTTCACACTGCAAACAATACTAGGTAGGATGTTAGAGAGCAACAGAAACGCTACAGCATTATTGTGTTGTATGACTGAAGCAGTTGAGACTATTTTCTTATTGACTTTTGCAAAGTTCATACTTACATTTGGGCAGGACGATGGGTTGTTAATTGCATCATCACGATCTCTAGGCTGCACCTTTCGTGCTTTAGCAGTCGATAGAAGAATGTTGGTGGCCAGTTATGATTGAATTAATAGAAATAGGTGGAACAAAAATAAAATATTTTATTTTATTGTTTAGATATATTTTGATAAAATAAAATAAAATTTATTTTTTTCAACCGTAAGTTAAATGGATTAAATTATATTTTTTTTGTATAATATTTTAAACATTTATTTTTAGATTTATTTTTGTGGGGGGGGGGGGTTAATACTCCTATCAGGTGGCATAACATTATTTGTCTCTTTAAGTTATTAATAACAAAAAATTATTAAATTTTTTAATTAATAACATTTTGCATTTTAGTCTTTTTTTTATTGAATTTTGTAAGATAATCCTTTGACATACTTTCCTCCTTCAATCTATTCTATCCTCACCTACCTCCATGCATCTTCCATCTGGGAATAGAATGTGGACATATTTTGAGAGATTCTTATCTGCTCTAACACCTGCAACTCTTCCATCACCCGCAAGAGAAGTAACCATCACTCTTGTCATTGCCGTCACAAGATCATCACAGAAGACCCTTACGTCATAAAAAAATTTATTATTACACTAACAGTTGAGAAACTAAAAAAATTGTTTTACTTTGGTGATGATCAAAAGATTGTTATACCTTGGTGATGATTATAAACTAATACACGACATAACCAGAACCATGTCTTAGAACTACGGCATCAAAATCACAAACTAAGCCTCTACCTCGTTGGAACTGCCAACCTCATGTTCCGATTTGGAACATCTTTTTCAGGTAGAATGGATTCTCTGCAACACTTCCTATTGCAATCCATCAACACCAACGTTACATCATCGTCAACGACGCTGCCCTTGTCTCTTACCCCCAAAATATCATCGCCGCCGCAGTCTTGCACATGTGCGTGCACGGGAGGATCCGGCGGTACGCATTCGATGACGACAACCTGCGGCTACAGTTACTGTCCCCACAAAGACCAGGACAAAGACACTGTTTCTACCTGGTAATAAGTCAAATTTTTATGAATAACATTTACTTGAGGGGACTTGTTAAGGATCAAGGTTAGATTCTGAAACTATTTTTTTAATTAAATTTATTATCTTATCCAATGATTTTTAAGGATTCCTTGTTGGGTTGGAATTCAATGATCCACTCATGAGAAAAATATACTTTGGTTCATTGTAACATGACCCAAGAGTCTCGTTGTTCTTTTTAAGTTCGTGCCGGACGAGTTTCACCCATTTAATAACTTCATAGAAATAATCTTGTATCGATTCAATTGTTGTAACTAAATATTATCCTTCTTTTTTTTTTCCCCTCAAATTTGAAATATTTAAACAACAGTAAAAATATTATTAAATAACTCACATTTTATAATTTTATGTAATTATATTATATTAATTTTGATACATATAAAAAAAGCATAAAACAATTTAGATTAATCGAAGATTTTATAAATATAATAAATAATAATTAAATGATACATAAGAATAAGTTCAACTTGTACTAATATACATTAATTTCTCACTCGCACGTACATGGCATGTCCTAGCATAAGCTGGATTAGTTGAAGTATGTGCAAGGTAACATGGACTTGATCTTATCACAATTTCAAAGAATCACTAAAGTATTAATACTAATGCTCTTCCTTTTTCTTTTATTTTCTATACAGCTAAATTTATATGGTTCATGATCAAATGAATCAGAGAACGTTGATGGCCTCAAAGCAATGCACGTGGCACTTTCCATATGTGGCTTGAAGCCACCCACCATCACCACCACCATCCAGTTCAGTAAGTAGGAGAGTCAGAGCGAAGAGTGTGAGGACAAATATTGCAACTTGCAAGAGAATATTCTCATTGGTATGAGGCTCTAATGTCTCTCCTTTGGCTATATAACAATAATAGAAGTTGAATGGTTTTAATTTGCAATTGCAAAACTATTGCAACATTGTGTATTGGTCCCCTCAGCTCACACCAAGAGGAAGAAAGTGGAGTGCAGCCAAGGGTGATTTGCCGGCACTTAGTTTCGCAGATATTCAAATAGTTATGTTTGATTTTCTTCTTCTCCTATTGTCGGCAAGTCTCTCTTGGCTACATTTTGCTTTCTTCTTCTCCTGTGTGATGCTTTCGCAGGACCCTATCAATCCAGTTCCATTGTCTCACCTTCATCATTCATATTGATAAAACTCATGAGTGACCGAGTCATCACTTCATATCACAACATCAGTAATAATAAACTGCTTTTAATTTTGTACTTTGTCAACCTCGATATTTAAATATGAATTTAAACGATTAATAATAGTATTTTTTTTAAAAAAATATTTATTATATTTTTGTAATTTCTAACATAAAAAGTATTTTTAATAAAATTTTATTATTAATAATTACATAAACTTAACTTGAAGATCCGGTCTTATCTGCAGGTTGTGCTTCCGTATAAAATCCTAAAGAAAAAATAAAATAAAATAAAATAAAGCCAACAAAATATGTGACCAAAATTGAAACTTTTGGTAATTTCTCTTAACCTTGCACTCAGCGTTACTGCCTTGCAAAGCTACATGGTAGAGTGATTTTGGAGGGTCTCTCACACGTGAGGGCTGCAGAATTTTATAATTTTATATATAAAATTAGAGATTCCAATGATTATATATAATACATATCATAACATCTCAGTATAATACACATCATACCAATGCCTAAACTTGTTACATGTGTTAGGTTAAATCAAATTGAATTAATAAGACATTGTGAAAGGGATGATTATCCATTAATTTGCTTATTGAAAAATCTAAGACTGACTTTGGTTGAGCAAATTGTCTAATAGACTAGAAATTGTTTAAGTTTGGCAATGTATTTGTCTTTTACAGCACATGAGAAGTTGTTGGAAGATCAACAACACTTTGTTCATCCTAATAGTTACAAAGATTATTGTAATACATGACAGTAAAGGAATTTTGTTGATTTAAGGTTACAATATATTGTTCAAGCTCATAAATTCAAAGACCATTTGTAGTAGAAAACGAGCTTTTTAGCTCAGACCATATAATAAATGCAAAAGAGAGTATTATTCTTCTTATACCATCTAAGATATTGTGAAAGGGATTATTATCCATTAATTTAGTACAGAAGGTATATAATTCTTTGTACAAATTAATTGCTCAATTATAGATAAAAATAATGTTGTAAATTTTTTATTTAAAAGAAACAATATAATCTAATTGATAACAATTTATATAATTATGTACAAGGAATATATATATTACCGGTAAATCAAATAATTCGGTTACAACATTGGATAACCTAATTTGACAATTGTAGACTCAAGTGACAAGCAAGGTAGAGTTTATAACACATCGATCATGGCTTGTAAGTTTATCTTCTCAAATGTAATTGTGCCGAAAGAAAACCTATCCGATTAGTTCATTATTTCAATATCCATTTTTCTAATAAGTTACTGATATTTATAAAAGTACCAAAATATTTATTATTAATTATAATTAGTAATTTTCTTAAATTTTTATTATCATAACAACACTCAATAAATATTGAAGATTCACGTAGAAACATGTACGAATCTTTTTAATTAGTACGTTAAAGATATTAATTTAGAAACAAATAAAATATTAATAATAATTTAATTTTAATGTATACTAAATAATAAATTAATAACATTACACAATTCAATTGTATCTATTTTTAATTCAAATCTTCCTATAATAAAAAAGTTATACTATAGAGATAAATAAGCATATAAATATGACTATCATCTTTTATTAGTTAAATAATAAAAATTAAATTATTTTATTCATCAAATAAATTCTAAAAAAATTTGTCAGTACTTATTATACAATATTCATAAGAGTACCGTCACATCACCTGTGCAGTTATCATGAGATTTGCCATTAATATACTTATTTATACTAATTCTAAGCGACTTCATCAAGAAATTTAAACTTATAATTTAATATGAACTATATCAAACATTATCCCAATGTTAGCATCTTTACGAAATGTCACACATAAGACTTTGGCAACTACTATGGATGTAATAATTTGTGATTTTTCTTATGGAAGGTAGCATTTAACTGAATTGATTGATATTTGATAACTCATCATTTGTATGTATATGAAGGGTTCCCCAAATGTCTTATAAGTCAGATGATTAGATCATTACAAATATTATTTAATGTTAACATTTTCTTGAATTATTTGGAAGGACCTACACTTATGTGAGTGATGCCTGTTAATATCCATCGAAGATATTTAATTCCTTTCTTGTATCATAATTAAGGATGGAAACAGGTTAAACCGCTTGACAGAGGCCTATGACCTGACCTGACCTTTTTAATAAATAAACTAAACTTAGACTTTTTTAAAGTTTATTTAAGTAAATAAGTTAGGTCTGAACTGTTTATAAAGTCTCACAGATCAGCCTATATAAATATAAATATATATATATATATATATATATAAATTTTAAAAATAGAGCTGTAAAAATATATTTAAATAATAGTTATTTCATAATAT